GAAGGGGGTAGTTACATACAATCAGCCTATATGCTTATTTGAGTGTACGTGGGGGCCGGTGTAAGCCGTGAGGCCATGATATGATAGGCTGCGCTGGCCCGAGAAAAATGTAGGTACTGACTGCGCCTCACCCTCAGGGATTATTTGTAAACTCTCATCTGTACCTACATTGTATAATATAAATTAGTTGCATGTCCCGGGTGGGGGAAGGGTAGTATACAAGCTTTACCATTTGAGGGGTCAGGATTAGATTTTGTGGAAGATTAACGTCGTATGTTATCCTATAGTGCCCAGCAGGCACAAACAAGGCGATGGGTTTATGAAAAGGGAAGAGCATACGTCCTGTGGAGGCTGAGTCGGAGGGTGAATTCGTAATGTAATTTTGGCCTGTTATAGTCAGTTGACGAATTGATAATGGAGTTGTCGGATGTACACTCGCTCACGGAGTGAAGGCGGTTGGGGATTTGGGACCAATTGCAATAGTAGAGTTAACCTTGTAACGCTAAGGCTAAATTACTGCAAACACGGCCACCAGAAAGGATTCGCCGTCACCAGGTGAGCGAGTGTAGAGAAAAGGTCGAGTGCAGTTCAGACTCATCGGGCTGTTCGTGGTTCAAAACAGTGCTAACGTCTTGCTCCCTCCATCCATCCCTTCCTTCTTCATCTCTCTGTGTCTTGAAAAATAACCCTCTAACGTAACATACTCTATCTCATCCATCTCCGCCTCAATTTACCGCGGTTATTGCACGTGGAAAACAGCGAGGTTTCTCAGGAATATGACTGATGTTTTATTCGGACTACTAGTACCTTGACCTTGGAGAAGTCTGCTGATTGGCAGAGCAACAATTGCCATATATATCCTCTGCCTATGCCTGGGAAAGAAAAGAAAAGACGAAAGGGCACATAAACTCGCTCAAGCTACGTGTTCGTTTTCACAGCTTTTCCGGAGGGGCTTTGTCCCGAAGCATCGCCATGATGTTTTATAGGTTCGAATTCGCGATCATCCACCAATAGCCCAATTAAGGGAGGATCTAACAGGGTTTGCCGCAACTTCTTTTGTGTCTATACTCTTATTCTGATTGTAAACACGAACGATATCGGATTATCCATGATTAAGGACGATCGGTGTCTAGATCGGAACAATGCCCCAGCTCTGGTTCATCCCATCTTCGCCTCCACCATGAATAGCACTTTCAAGCCTTCTCCAGGCTGACTGATGCTTTTCCTCCTTGAATTTCTGCCTTTATTTTGGATAGTTTCTATTGGCTAATATGATAATAATCGACATTTCTGCCCTAGAAAATCTAAGTCGTATGAGTGGAAAAAGGCACATATCCTCGTTCAAATTATGTGTTCGTGTTCACAACGTTTTGGGGTTTATCAAGAGAGGTGCGCTTTGTCCCTGAGCGTCGCCATCATTACTGACGGCTATCGTTTCTACGGCTTCGAATTTGCGTTGATCGTACGACCGGCTTCTAGTCTACAGTCTACCCATTGAGGATCGGACTGGTCGCAGGTTTACCGCAGCTTCTTTTGCAATTGCCTCAGAACACGAATCATATCTGGCCTTAGACTTGTCTTGGTTGGAAAGCCCCAGAATTTTAAGCTTCCAAGACATACAGAATCTTGGCTCAGCATCAGAAACCTGGATAGGGTTAGGGGTATATCCCCCAAAATAATCTTTTCAATATCATGACGAAAAAGCCGCCGAAGGGGCGCCCAATACGGCGAGCTTTACGACTGAAAGGTGCGGTGAGCTATTTTCAAGAAACTCAGCCTTATATGTAGTCCTGATATCGAATGACTCGGACGTTCCTGTCGTTGTTTGAAATTGATCTAGTATTCGATAGGCCTAGCTAGGTGGCTTTGGTTAGCTTCACCTTCGAGTATTCTCCTTCCTTCCAATTGAAGAGTGGCTAATCCAGATATTCCAAATGCATAATCGATCTGCTACTGGTGAAGTTATTCCTGATATGCATATCATAGACAGGGGGGCAGGAAGCATTGGTGGATATTCGATCATTGGCTATAATCCCGCAGTAAAAATGACTAACCACAAAGCAGTTGGATTACTCACTTTGGGGAGTAAGATACGGCACTGTACTTTGCTTTGAGGCTTGATGACTCCTTCTCGAAGCTAATCGACTACTGTGTTTTACGCCTCAACCCTAACCCACGCTACCCAGTGAAGTATTTACGTGTTATCCCGAGCTAATCCTTTCGCGTGCTTGGGTTAGCTCACTGAATAGTTGAGGAGCTCGTTAGGTCAGCCTTTTCGGGCCAGCCGGTCAGCTGATGTAATTGACATAACAGTGGCTGCATGTGCATAACAAATTGCACTTTGCGCGTGGTGGCGAGAGCACTGCAGGTAGGTATGTATGTATACATACATACTAGTATCTTCCTGACGTTTTTGAACTGGGCCATTATTGCATACACCCAAAATCATGAGCTTGGCGTATTTTTGTATGGCATGCAATATCAGTCGCGTCCACAAACGTCAGGAAAATACGAGTAGAGTAGTACGTCTTTTCGGAATAAATGCCCGGTGTGCAGCATGCAGCATGCAGCGAATCCGTGACTCCCCTTTATCAGCTATTGTTGTAATGGCAGTATAAAGATCACATATGGGTTAGGGTTATTCTTTCAGAATCTCTGTGGTGAAAGGTTGATGACTACGATCGACGACCAAAGCTGAAAAGATAGCTTGTGCTACTGCATGCTCTGAGTCCCTATTTGGATTGAAGTGTAGCTTTGGTAATTCGAATGAGTCCCGACGGCTCAGAGTTCTCATTCTGAATCCGAAATCATCGCAGAAACGGGGATGGTGAATCATATAGTTTTCGTCGTAGATGGATAGGAGGTATTATTGCAATTGGTACTTGGATTCTACAATGCAAAGTGGAAAGGAGTTGCTAAAAGGATCGAGAGCACAGCTGTTGAAAACGAGTATGATGATTAACTGACTTAATTGCACTATGTATAGGTTTAAATGATTGTATTTACCGAAACATATGTGGCACCAAGTCATCCCGAATTCTTCTCGCTAGTGTGTCCCTTATATCTCAGGTCTACTACCAAAGACTCAAAGACTCCCAGTCCTGTGATCTGTTTCATTCTGTAACACCGTGTTGTCAGGGGACAATTACATGTGACGTGACGCGGAGGCTTGAGATATTTGCTATGTACATGTAGTATTGATCGACTGATTAAATTATTAGGCTCTTTAATTTCCTATGTAGTAGGAACCCAAGAGCCATGAGCGGATGGTCCTATAGTAGTCAAGAACCACGATACTGAGAGCAGAAGTACCATATCAATACTACCGCCGCTGCCCCATCCTTTGCTTCCAAATATAGAGCTACGAGTTTACGTTCGTTCAGTTGATCAATTGAGGTCTTAGATAGTGGTCATGATTGGCACAAGGCAAGATTTCTCGGGATTAAACCTCGAGCCGGTCTTCTAGTACTGTAGAGCAAGATAAAGGAGAAATATCTCTATCCTACTTTTGAGTTTCCATGTGAATGATCGATTTATGTTCGAGTAAATTGACGCTCTGGCTATATATGTAGCCTGATCTCTAAATGGTAATATTAATTACAGTACCAAAATAGAGGATATATTTAGTACCTTATATATATATATATGTGGCAGAATACCACGCGCGAGACTACGATATTATGATGGCTAGGATTCGGAGGTTTTGACACAGTCCTGTATTTCTACACTACATATTATATATTACATCCCCTTTTTTGGTACTGTAAACAAGTATACTAAGGTGTACTTTGAGTTTCGCCCTGCGATATGAAAGCCCCACTGTATGGAATCGATAGCTAATCCTCATTAAAGTCAGAACTATTTACAGAAGCCTAAAAAGAATTTCACAGTATTGGTTCTAAGACCGAATTGGGCCTGCAATAGGTATCGGTTCATTCCCCGTGATTCCCCGCATCACAGCTATCACTCGACACATTTCAGAGACACATTTTCGATATTTTAGCCTTTTCGCCCTCAAGGCTTATCTAAGCACGGAGCTTAATTCCAGGATTCAATTTGTAGCTGAATGAAGTGAAGTAAACCTCTTCCATGTACATGTAGTAGGATTTGTAAAAGAGTACCGCCATTACCAATCCATCTTGGCAATACACGTGGAGACGGCTGATATTTCTACGTGTGTTGATTTCTAACGTAAGTGAAGTTTCATGGCCTGATATTACAACGGACGCCAGGCGATTTCGCATGTTAGGATGATAGGAGGGAATCCCAAGCCAAGATCTTGTGCGCTCCAGTAGTGATTTTTTAACGCCCATTCCTTTATAATTACTGGGGGTCATGGATTATATAGCGTCCAAGTACGTGGCTAGCTATAGTGAGCCCCCTCAAGAATGTTGGTATCGCTTTCCCCATCTCAGATCAAGCCGGGATACCAAACTATCCAGGTACATATATTGTTTCAAGGATGTTTATGTGGCAAGAGCGTTCAGCCTATTATCAACATCATTCGATCCTTCTTTCTCACACGGCCTTGAAATGATGCTAAACTTGTGGGAAACCAATTTGTTTTAATATAACTAGAAAGAAAGTATCATTTGAAACGATGATGTTACCTCCCATCTAAGATGAGGGGTTCTAACGAATGTAAGTAATAATTATACACAAAAATAGGGTTAGACGCCAGCCTAATTAACGAGCGCAGCTGCAGATATGAAGAAAGAGAAGAAAAGAACCCCCCAATATTGCACTAGCAAAACGACTGAAAGTAATATGCAAACATAAAAGAAAAAAAGAAAATAATGTCCCAGAAATAACCAAAAACACCAGCTAGACGTACAGAAATTCGTTTAATAAGTTACAATTTTTCCTTGTGGGTAACAAACGATCGTCATAAAGTAAAACAAAGTAAAGAAACCCTAGTATATATCAATGAAAGCGCATCCCACCTCTTTTTTATCATGAAAGACATAATTATAGCCAACTTTATCAATCAAGATGACTGTTTATTTCCTCAAGAACATCTTCTTCCAGCTCGACCCGCCATCAGTTTTCGATTCAACCTCAAACTCGTCCCTTCCCTGCTTTGTCCCTTTCTCCAAATCTCTCGGAATAAAGTTCGCCACACTATTCGTTGAGCTTCTGATCGCAGTTGGAGTCGGTGGAACCGCAGGCTGTCGGGTGATGATCGGCCTTGACATCTTGAGCTCTCCACGAGCATTGACAGAGAACCTTGGTACGAGAGAACGGCGTCTTCCTTGTAGCTCCCACTGCTTACGACGGCGCATGTACCACAGATAGCTAGCCACTAACCCCCCAATACCAGCAATGACAACGACCGAGATGATACCGATTTGAGCTCCAAGAGGGATGTTGATGAAAGTATCCGAGGATCCATCTGCGCCGGCAGTGCTATCTTCCGCTGTTTCGTCAATGAGCTTATTGGGATCGTCGTATGATTGTCCCGGGACCGTGGGGTAGTAGCCGAGTCCATCCGTTTGGCTGGCGGCTGCACTTGTAGACGCTGATTCGGAATAGCTTGAGGTGGGAGTAGCTGACTCGATACTGGTGACAGTAGCAGATGGCTGGAGACTATTGATGGGGGTAGGTCCGGAGACAGCGCCGGTGGTGGTCTGTGCTAATACTGCACTGAGAGGAGAGAAAGCAGCGGCCACTATAAGGGCAATCAAGGTGTATTTTTGGGAAACCATATTGGGAAATTGCTAATTTTTCCTTTCTGTTTTGTAGAGAGTAGTTTTCAAAAAGAAAAGTAAGTCTTTAAGGAATGATCAATACTGTTTCTTATGTAAATATATCCCGAGAGCACGGCTCTAGTAAATACTGGCGAGGAGGTTTGAGATCGATGTTCGAGCCTCCAGATCCTCTCTTAGACGGTAGATGTGTTATTGAATGTGACAGCCAGAGGGGAGGGCATCGAGTTGACTTTATCTCCTGTTCAAAATGTCGCCCCTTCACCAGCGCCTATTTCTTGAGCTACCAAAAAAAAAAAAAGGTTTCTTTAGAAGCGAGAGCATCAGGGGCTCAAACTGTGCCAAGCTGTTGGATCAATTGGCCCAGGTAAGGTGGTTACTATTTTGGCTACTATTTGGGGCGTCTTGGCATGTATGAGCGCTCCCGTTGGTCAGTGCCTGGGCGGTTAGGCGCTTTGCATGCGGGAGACCTTATCTAAACCGATTAAAAGACCAGGGCAAAAATCAATTTGAATGGCTGTCGTTAGTTCATAACGGGGATTAAAGGTACCTACCTGAAAGTTGGAAAATCACGCATTTTCAGTGGTTACCCATATTTGTTGCCACACCGTTCACCTCAAATGTGTTTAGCTCCATGGTCTTCCTGGATATAATCATCTGGTTCGAACCAATAATGCCGGATTGGTACCTTAGGGACCTGAAACGAGGCTTCTCCAATTTTGGAGGTGGAGACGTATATGTACGCGGAAAGGGAAAAACGGAGAAAGTTCCCCACATGATCTGTCATCTATTGTTGGGGGTTTTATATGACGGAACAGATGGACTGTGCGCCAAAGCCTTCGACGAATCTCTGTAAAAAGAAAAAGCTGGTGACAGCGGACAAGTTTCTAGAACTCGTTTCAAATACCAGGAGGGCCTTCTGTTCGTTCTGTGGGAATACCTATTGAGGAGTGTTTGTTTTTAATGACCTAACAATCGATACTGAGCAGCTTCTCGGACCAATCTCCAAACCGGCCATATGGTGATAGATGTTCTATAGGCAAGGATAAATGAGGGCCGGGAACTTGTTTATTCCCCGGGCAGGCAGTCAATTCCTTATTGATTATCATCTCATCATGGGACTAGATGTCTATTTGCAACCCACATAGGAATTGTCTTATGTTGACAAACCGCCGATGTTCCGGTGGAGTTCATCCATCATTAGGTTTAAAGACCGTGATAACCGGCAGAAGTTCGCAATATTGTCCAGGAGAATGGGATTCAACACCTGACTCAGGCCGAGCTCCGAACTTGACATCTTTGCACCGTATGTATACATCCTTACCACATAGGCCATGCATAAGCGAAAATAGCACGTGTTTCCTTCAATCACGCAAACAAAACAACGAAAACGGGGAAATCAACCATGGATCGCGTCCCGCGACATCCACCCAGCTGATCGCCGCTCATTTCTTTTTCCGGGAGGCTCCAGGAATAGAGATCTTTATCAAGTTGTCCCACTTTTGATCTCTGTGTCCAGGGTAGGTACATGTAGGAGAGATGCTGCGTAGGTTGACTGCCCAGGGGTTTAAGCTCTTAGCGAGACTAGTGCCCGCGCCTAGAGGGGCGTTTGTGATTGGTCAACAACCTTCAGGCAATTGAATGTGGTTAGACTCTGAAGCTCTATGTACCTACATATGTAGATAGGCCGTGAGATTCTCTCTCTTACAAATTTTGGCATCCTATTTACATCCCTCGCCAAAGACGTCACCTTGTCTTGAAAGTCAGGACGCTGGATTCAGGTAAGACAGTCTTTCTTTTCTTTCTTTTTAACGGTGCCTACCCGCTCTTGGGATCTCAAGTCCTGTGCTAATGTGTACCAAGATTGATCAGTCCGGCGGAAGCCAGTTGCTTTATTTTCGTCACCAACATTACCTGCAGCCACCACCAATGCGATACATATATACTGGTATTTACATACTTACCCCTTGACAGCTAGCCGGTATCCATAGACCCTTCAGTACTGAAGTATTGATAAGAATAAGCAAGTACGCTTCTCTTGAAACCTTCCATGAAATCAGCCACTGGGAATCTAAATCAATCGTGAAGCCACTGTCAAGTTTCGTCTCGTCTTATCCTATTTTGGCGTGCTTTATATGCGCTATATTTGGAGCGTGTCGGTCTGTTGGAACAGCGACAAGAGCAGTTATGTCACTCCTGATTCAATTCAACGTATAGTGATATGTAGTCTTCGAGTGAGATCTCATGATATCTTGAGAAGGCCGTCAATGTACTTCCAAAGAGAAAGAGGATTTGGATACCTAGGCGCGATAGCATTACCATATTACCATAACTCGTAGCGATCTGGCTGGGTAAAATGTAAACACCAAGCATATCAATTCGGTCACTCTTCTGCTCTCCTCGACTTCAAGTACACCCTCGACTACAACTGACAAATCCGCCAACTTAACCACTCTTCTGCATACTATGGTGGGGACACGTCAACAGGGTCGGTGTTTTTTTTTAAATCAGTGTTTCGTTGATTTCTAGGTACAAGAATGTCGCATGCAGTTAACGCTATGGCGTGAACAAAACCTAACAAGTACATATAAAACATAAAGCATCATCCTTAACTCGAACCCTGACATTCAACGAAAGGAAAAGCAGAGCATAAATATATAAGCGTCCCGGCCTAGCACGGGCGAGTTACTTTAGTATAAAGAAGTGAGGGAAACAGGAAACCAGAAAAACAAGGAGTACGTTTCTTAATTCGTCTAAAGAACATTGAAGGACCCGGAGGTTGTGGCGAGTGAGGTAAGAGAAGAATCTGAAGAGAGTTGATATGGAGGGGACTGAGGGGGTCCCGCTGGTGGGGGGGGGGGGGGAACCCGGTCCTAGTAGCACGGATATACGAGCTGAGAGCTGCAAGTCGTCCAAACTGTGGGCAAAGGGAATATACATAGCGCGGGGTCCTGACAACGGGGTCGGTCTTGGCAGAAGTAACAAAGTTCCACGCGCTGATCAGTCCCTTTTAGGGGAGAGATTAAGCCTAATAAGGACAGATCGAGTGCTGAAGGGGGGAGGACAGAGCAGAGCCAAACCCCCACAACTAGAGTACGGGCACGATATAATAATCAAAGCTATGTCCAAGATATACAAGCACTACGTATACGTCTAGCAGTGTAATTGGGTTTTCACATGTAACTACCCAAGGCTCATATCTATCCATTAATAGAGTAGCGCGCGGCAGACCACCCAATAGCCCCAACCCTTTTCGCCCTGCGGGTTTGGGGCCTATGTGGATAGTTGACAACTTACTCTTTAACTTGTCAAGATGGACACGGGGTTAGTTAGAAAATGCCAACTGCATAAAAGCGGGACAAGAAATGATGAGATATGAGGGAATCTTGATAAGTGGTTCCTTGATCCTCTATTTAGCTCATACTCATATAGAATTATTGTAACTAAAGCTAATAGATTGTATTTTAAGCTCGGTTCTGGTTTTAAAGGTGAATAAAAGAATGTGGATTTCGGGCTTGGATAAGAGCCATCTATTTCCTCCATTGCGCATGCGGTCAAAGCTGATGGAAATCACTTACAAAGGAAAGGACCCACCTACTTTCAGTACTTTCCTTCTGAGACCCCGTAAAGCCTAAAATTCACCCCAAAGCACAAAGTTCAAAGTATTCCACAGCATATGTTTATGAAGCTATCGCCTGAGCCTGATCTAGTTTTGACTAACCACAGTCTTTTTCATAAAACTACCCTGGTAAGCTCTGCCTAAGTATTCACGTGACCGCTTACCATTTCTAGAAAATTTTGCAAATGAAAAATTAAAACTATGGAAGCAATATTCTAGGGTATCTACGCATTGTCATCATACCGCCCTCAGCGCATAACTACGGACCTGATACAGTTGTGTTGGAAATCCCTTCTGAATCTCAGTCCTTACAACCCGCAATCCGGCTTGCCTGAATAAGTTTTTAAACTTGTGATCCGTCCTATCGAATTCACATTAATCAGCTATCTAAATATTGTAGGGAGAGGGCATACCTGGTAATACTGCTATCTATCTCGTCGTACATGTCATCTTTTGTCTCGGTGATATTCTCCTTCACAACGATGACACCGCCCTCCAAAACAGCATTTTTACAGCGCGCAAGGTAGGCTACTAGTTGCACGTCCGAAAGGTGCCCTACGCACCACTGACTTCACAAAAATTAGTCACTTCGCCCAAAACCCCATCTATACCAAGCCGGACACGCCAAGGTCCGAAGAAACTTACTTCCAGATAATATAGTACTTTTCTCCCATCTCCTCTGTCGCCTTGACAGGGTCCCACTGCTGTAACCCCACGTTAACTATTTTGCCTACCCTCCCATCTTCTCTCTCCTCTTTTAAATTATTGCCCTCAATCGCCTCCTTAGTGAACTTCTCCACCGGTTCTATGATATCTACAACAACTTTGCCCTTGTTCAAAGTTGTCAATAGCTCTTTCGTGATCCTTCCGATCCCCGCGCCGCAGTCCGCGACCTTCCATATTTCAGGGCTAGACGCAGTCTTAAGTCGCAACTTTGCAAGGAAGTTTTTAGACCCCTGGATATCGATTCGGGAGACGTATTCATATCCTCCAAGCATGCCTATCAACACCCGCACTATTTAGTTGCACTGCGCAGGATTTGGCATGATCGAAGGGGTATGTTATAACCATTTGGAGTGGCTTCAACGCTGTTCCAATACTCGATTGACTTTGTTTCTACATAAATATTAGCATGAATATTCCCATGAAAGACCTTTCAGAGCTCCTATACACTTACGATCGATCGAAGCGTCTGGTGGAGGTGCTGTTGTCATGGCTTTTAGTGGATGTGGATGTGGTTCATGTGGATGTGGTGCATGTGTGCAGAAGAGTTCAATCGCTAATATTAGAATACATGAACCGATCAGATAAGATAAGATCAGAACCAGTAACCCTAGATCATCAATAAGCTGCACCATGTAATTTTTTTGTTTCCTTTTTTGAGGCTGGGGTCCACGCGATGATTTAGGCCTGCGGTTAAATGTTGCCTTATATACAGATCTGGCCTCGGAATGTCAGCTTGATGGCGCTTTGTTTAGCGTTCTTTGTGTTCAATTCTTTCATTTGTTTCTTCAGTTACGATGCCTAAAACGGCTTAATGGAACCTAGGGCAAGCGAACGTTAAATACATGTATGTATATGTACATTACAGGGCCTTACAGCGATGGGGAAAATTATTGTAGAAACAGGGGTCTAAAAACAGGGTTTAGGTGGCTGCCCCGGCCAATAGGACTCTTACCATACTTCTACAATAATTTTCCCCATCGCTGTAAGCTCAGAGGGAGAGAATAGTGGTCCCGGTTTGGAGATACATTCTGGCACACAGCCCCTCACTCGAAAAACCTTGTACTCTAGTCACAAAAACAACAGCGCCGGGATATAAACAAAGAAATGCGTTCCTCCTTGCTGCATACGCAAGGTTATTTCAAGGATTAATCTTAGAGAGGAGGTCATTGTTATTTATGACCATATTCAAAATCGGATTGGTTGTTAGGATCGATAGACCTATTTTGGGAAATATTACACGATATTAATGGCTTGGTATTTAACGCAATACGGCATGATATGGGGGTCGAGCTTGAGTGGATTAAGCTTCAAAGTCGCGCGCTTCGGTGATGCACATGATCTTTAACGATAGGCATCATGGATTGGTAGATTATTACGCACATACGTTATGTGCCACGGCCAGGCAGCAGACATGGATGTGTCATGAAGGATCACTCGATTGCATTCTCACTCGTTTTCAGGGATGGCGCTAAGTAGTTTCACCTACCCCAAAGTCCGCCTGGAGAGCTAAAACAGCTATATTACAACTGAACAGAGTTAATTATAATCAGTAAAAAAGGCATAAAACAAGCTTTATTCGCCAAATTTGACCCCGCACGCAAAAACCCAGATTTAGGAAAAAAGTATATATATATACAACGAAGATTGATACCCCTCATGTCTCATTTAGCTACTTTCATCCCTCCACACCTCGTGACCGTTTTGTTCCTCACATTGCGTTGTTCAAAGAAGTTGTAGCAGAAGAAGCCGCATCGTATCCTGGTTGATACTGGTATAAAATTGGAAATTATTCGTTTTAAGAGCCCATCTCTTAACCCTAACCCTAGCACGATCTCATCATCACTACGCAAGCAAGCTCACGAGTGCTTCATTCCACCCAAGGGCTCGGCTCTAACCAGTGCCCAATCAATTCCCGAGTCCAGCTCATCGTCCACAAGCCCACAGACAGCCACATTGTCTCCGCGGATCAGATATAGCCCGTGCTCGACCTGCTGGGTTGGTTCGTCTGGACCTGCGGACGCGGGGCTGAAGATACGCTCGATTGTATGGGAGAGTATTAGGTTTGTAGTTTGGTCGTGGCCTAGGAGCTTGCCGGTTAAAGTACGGCCATCGGAGGTGAGGATTGTGACTGTCTCTGTAGTTTTTATCGGGGGTTAGCGATGGGGTAGATTGAAGTGGAGGAAGGGGTAGGAAGGTGCTTACTATTAACGAAAGACTGAAGATTCGACATGATGGGCAGTTTGAGGTGACGTCGTGGGGATTGAGAGGAGATCTAGAGCGGAGGAAGCCTCTATCGTGACAGTTGGTGGGACAGGGGTTGTGGTAGGTGAGGTTGAAGCAGTGTCTTCGTGATAGGGGGTTCGGTGGGATGAGGTAGGCTCGAGCACGCTAGGTGACAGCCAATAATTCTGCAGAGGCAATCATTGATACCCTTGTCAGATCTATACACGCTTTGTGATTGTTTAGTTGGAAATCAACGTTTTGTACATTGGAATATAGCTATTATTTTAATAAATGTGTCTCTGCTCTGGCTACTAGTTTCCTTTAAGACTTGATAGTTAATGACCTAAACTTTTGATATTTATACAGAATTATTCAAAGGAAATTAGAATACGTCTAAGTCTTCCTTCTCTTCGCCATCATCTTCTTCTTGGAGTTAAAGAGGGAGCCCAGTTCTTTCCCACCATTTCTCCCACCCTCATCATCACCTTGTCTTTTCCTGCTGTTCTCCAGCAGTCTACTACTCTTGCCACCTTTCCCCGCACCCTTGGTCAATCTATTTAAATCGCCGGCAAAGTCTCTCCAGTCTTCACCGCCAAACTGTCCAACATTGTCCCCGCCCTTCCTCTTCCGTTCCCGCAGCTCCTTCTTACTTAGCTGCGGTAACCTCACGAAGTTGCTTTCCTCGTAATCTCTCCTCTCCTGCTCTTCCCTTCTCTCCCTGGAACTCTTCATCACCCTTCCACCAGCCACAATAGTAGATCCAATAGACGGTGTAGCCATCGGCGCAGCCGACATCTCGTCCGCGATAAACTCATCCAGCATGTGGCTCTTATTCCTGCCTGCATTCTCTCTCTCGCGTTTTCCGTCAATCTTCTCGCTCGCTGCTGTTGCAAAACCGGGCATGACTGTCGCCGAGATGCGCGGCGGCTTGTAGATTCCTTCTTTACCCTCTGTCTCGCCAACACTCGGAAGCGCCGCCGCACTTGGCTTTGCCAGCGCCATCGGATTCGGGCGGAACGAGAGCTCCTTGTTGGCGATCGTAGATGCGGGCGCCGCTGCTACCGTAGTCTTCTTGGAGTAGACTCCGTAGTCGTCGTGTTCAACCCCATCGTCGGATTCTTCTCCTGTTGCGCCAGCGGCGGCGGCGGGCATTAATGCTGCATTCCCAGCCTTTGAAAGCTCCTTATCGACGGCCGCGGCGACAACTTTGTCGATCTGGTATTTGAGCTTCGCCTCTAGTGGCTTGACACCCTTCTCGAGAAGGAGTCTGATCTTAACAAGCTCCTTGACAACCTCACTTCCAAACTGGCCGTTTTTTTTGGTAGGATCTAGGGAGCCGGAGCGGAGCTTGATGAGCACGAGGAAAACGACGTTGTGTAGGTACGAGAGCAGGAGCTCATTTTTAACTTCTAGAAGGGAGATTCCGTTTTCGGGCGTGGCAACTGGAGGGAATTCGGGAGATGTCAGGGAGGTAAAGGCCGAATTGATGGAGGTTATCAATGTTGTGAGCGTTTCTAGAAGGGCGGCCATTTTTCCTGGGGTATCTGCTGGGAATATGGATTTTCAAGATCTTTTTTTTGGTGGATGAAATGATTTCTTTGAGCCTCAGTCTTGGCGGACATGGAGGTATTACCCGGACGGTGGAAGTGGTTGTCGGGGCCAGGAGGTCTTTTTTTTATCGCAGAGAGAACGTCAGACTGCTTCTTAGGTTACATGCTGTGCGTGAATTCAGCTATCGTGCTTTCTCTGAATACATCGTCTCATGCAATGGAACGTTTACTGATGAATTTGTCACATTCATTGGCCCATTCTTGATTCTTAGCCCAAACATTCCCTTCGCTGAATATATCCACACATCAAGGCAAAGAAAGAGCTTCCGATGAAAAACAAAGGACAACAGAAACCAATGTCCCTAAAGAAAATTTAAATGTACAGACTTTTATGACCACCGACTCATGAACTCCATTAAGTAAGTATACTATCGATCCCCATCACTATGCTAAACGTGCTTTTTTAGCCTTGTCGTCATCCTCGTCTACGAGTGTCGCCTCCTCATCGTCAGTCGGGCCTCTCTTCAAACCCTTCATCTTTCTTGACTGCATCTTGTTCAAGTCTTGCTTTCCGGTGTGGATACGTCCGAGCTTGTCTCCGATGATATCTGTCTCGATGTTCTTCTTCGATCTCGCCTATTTACCAGAAATGATATTGTTAGTGATCCAAATACATCCGTAAAAACGAGAAGGAATGGCGCAATGCGTACCTCAAGCTGTCTAGGCTTCTTAAGCGCCTCCTTCATCATACCTTCATCCGGTTCCTGGATTCTCCTAATCCTAAAGTCTATTCTGGGCCCAATCTCTTCCACTTCCACTCTCGGCAACTTCTGTCCACTCTTCTTGGTCTTGATCATATGCACCCTAATATGTACTGGCGGGCTAGGAACCAGATCCGTTGGCTCACTAACCGCAACACTGACGATGTACTGTAGCCCCTCCACATCGATTGCTTTCACTGTTTCACCTCTGAAAAAGTCGAGGAACATGGATTTGACGAGTTTGTAGTTTGGCGCAGAGTCGAACAAGCTCCCACTGAATGAGATCATGGGCTTCATTCCAATGGCGAACTTGGCGTTCTTGAAAGACTCGAGAGGGCGGAAGCTAGATTCGTCGATACCGAACTCGATCATGTCTAGGATCTTGTGGTCGAATGTGCGTGCGAAAGTAAGGTTGTGGGGTCGCTTCTTGGAGTGTGTAGCAAGGACGAGAAAAGAGGCGTCGTTCTTGGTAGAAAAGAACTCGAGGGGGGCAGCATCCTCGAATGGGTGGACTGCATTTTTCTTGGTGAACTTGATTGCATGGGGCTTCTTGAGTGCGTGCTGAAATTGCCAGAACTGTTAGAGTTGCAATTGGGAGATAGTTGAAGCGAAAGAAGTCTTACAAGATCTCCAAGAGCCTGTCTGCTCAGCTCACTAGTGGTTGTACCAGAGAGGAACAAGGTCTTCTTTTGATTCTCAATAAGCTTTGCTTCGCGATCATCGAGCGCACGTTTTGAGCGCGCATTACGAGGTTTTCTGCTTGGTGTTAGTAATTTCACTAAACTGCCCAAATGCTAAAAATAACTAGCAGGGCCGTACCTACACTGTGCGAATCATGACCGGTATCTTTTATGGGGTGAGGTTGGTCCTATCTGTGGGAATCAGACTGGTGGGATTTCTAGCTGAGTGTCGCAAACTTTTTTTCGAGGGTTTAGTTCCGGGTAACTGTCATGCACCTGCCAAGCATGGGAGGATAATCCCTAACCCTTGGGATAACCAACTGGTGTAAGGAAGTTTATCCTCGGCTCTATGCAAGAACTCATCGGGTCTTTAGAGATGTTTCTCTAGATGGCTGCAGTAAACGCTGCGAGGTATCAACGATCATGTGGCAAATCACCAAATATCACTCGAGCCACTTCACAGGGTGTCATTCGCCGCCCTACGAAAGTCTTGGACACTCACATAGGTCGACTGAAACTTCAATTGATATGATTTCCATCCAACATATGTACGATTATCTGTTGGATACGCCACGAAGTAAGCCAGCTCAAGCTGTTGACTCACTGAAAAAAAGACTTCATATCCAATGACCGGGGAATTTGAAGCTTCAAAAGCCCCATAAAGAATGACTGGTGCGGGTAGCATGCTCGGCTGCAATGCGCTAATGTATAGGCAGTAAGAGCCCCTGCGCTCAACTGCATACATGATGTACGTTTTGTGGTACAGGCTCTGCTTCTCAATGCTGGCCATGGTGTACACAACTCTTATTTTGGGGATGCTGATAATACAATGTATGAAGTCCACGGGCCGAAGCTGGCTTGTGGACTCACAAAATGCCGGTCAAGAGTCACCGCCGCTTTGTTCGGGCCATTAGAAGTCCGTTCTGTAAGAGTTGATGTCTCAACGGCGAGTCAACACTGCGTTACTCGGAGCAAGGCTGCAGATGTCCCGACAACCGAAGGGCCTGCCAGGTGTGATCTGAATAAAATAGCGAGTATATCTGATACAATTGAGGTCTTACTCTATGAGCTGCAGATCCGGAGAACATTTGCAGCGCTAGGAATATATAGGACTGAGTAGAAGGCATCTGACGGGCGAAAATCTCTCAAATTGGCAGGTCCTATGTGCATGATGTAGAGTAGTCGAAAACGCATATCATTTTCAATACTCCACATATCAACATGTGGAGTGGTCCTGTGATTAGCCCTGTATGTAAAGCATGCTGCACATTGTAGGGCAGCACCCAAGCGCCAAATTGATGGGTATGAGCTTAAAAGACATGCGTTTTAAGAATCAAATTATTGGAAGGAGGTTGACTGCTGTGGCCTGACTGTATCGGGTTTCCTCTTCTGTATGCATATTGAAGGTAGAAAGCTTCATTTATATGGGTGAGCACCAGGAGCACCAGGAGTCATACCATGATATTACATGTAGTTCTTGTCTGCCACGTGTGTTCTGGAGGAGGCCTGGCCTTTTAGAATCTACACACATAGATATCTAATTCTGTCATATTGAAGAGTAGACTCAGTCTGTGGACACGTTGGATTCCCAGGTCGATCATCATCGATCGATCTCCACACTGAGAGGCGCTATCATGCACCGCTTGACGAATGCAAAGATGGACTCGCTCATGCGGGTTAATGCAATTGATTTAGAACTGATAATTAGTTTACGTACGGGGAGCATAGCGAGTTTAATTTGTATGGTGATGAAGGCGCCGCATCGTATGGGAATGTCCAGTGGGAACGTTAGCTGCATTCTGTCAAAGCCAATGTTGCACTACCGTAGCCCCCAAACATGCTGCCATGCCCATGTACAGTAGTAATTTTATCGGTTCTTTGATAGATTACAGCAAGTTGGTGATTGTAAGAAATGAATTATGCTTACCATTAATTGGTTAAGTGATGCACCCAAAATCCCTGGTATGTAAAGGTTATCGATATCCACCATACATGTACTATGGCGCATTTATACGTTATTAAGGCGCGCAATATGCATATGTACGGTTCATCATATGCGTAGACCAATCAATAGGCTCTCTCGGAGTCTCTTCATCAACGTGATCAATCATCAAGGCTTCATATTTGTGGCTAGTGTGGACTTCATTCAGTTGACGTACTGTAGAATGAGATGGATAAAAATTCTATAGGTTTCTAGCCTTGCATACAAGTATCTACTATCACGAAGATAATTTTTGCCCTTCATGATTAGTTATCATATGCACTGTTTAATTAGTCGTGATATTTAATTTTATAGGAAGTATGATTGCGTCGTATAACTTATGCGTACATGTGGTATCACTCGCTCAAAAAAACAAATAACTATCTGGTTACAGAAAATGATCGCCCCAAAACAAAACCGAACAGAATGATACATCGTGACTTGGACTTAAAGAAGAAGGAAACAAATGAAAGTGTTAAGTTTTAGTTACTGAAATATCTTCCAACGTTTGAATAAGATCTAAAGCCTCCACAGAAGATTTAGAAATTGAGGAAACTCCAACAGAGGGTAGAAATCCATTTGAATAATCGGGTGACCACATGAACTGATAAGATTGTTACATCGTACGTTTGAGACTGGTCGGGATAGATCTGTTGCATAACGCCCCCAAGCCCTTTCGGATCTAAGCGGCGAGGACAATAGGATTTGTAGGTCTTTTAACATCCACGAGAGCTGGAATGCAGACAGATGATTTGTCGTAGTTCTCGTCTTGCTCGTCTCCATATTGTTTCAAGCAAGGCCTAAGAATGATGTCTATGGGCAGTTTTTCCTCAGGATCGACATGCTCTCCAGATGATTCTTTCATGTGTTCGTTTCCATACACAAATGTACGTGCACACTTAGCGTCGAACCATTGCTTCTCCAAAACCCTTACTTCTGCCGGATGTTTCGACAGCTCGAATGCTAATTCGCCCGCTGTCCTGACAAACTCTTTGCACTTCCGAAGCCTTTCTGCTTCGTTCCGTCGTGGAAAATATTTTTGTGATATTGGCCCGACAGCGTGCTCGATTGACGTGACGATACGGTCATAGTGTTGATCACGGTAAAAGGCTACAGATTGGGCAATATCTTTATGTGACCCTGGGCGGGAGGAAGGAGGGGTAGGTGAAGTGGTAGACGTAGGACACCATCCCTCAGACTTTTCGTATGCTGATAAAGTCGTGGCTCGCCACCTGTGCGCCTTTCCTCTATCTTCTAGTAGAAGAAAAAATCAGTGAATTTGTCATATTGAAATGATGTCAAACACTACTAACCCTTGAGCATAACTTGGAAGATCTCATTACAACTTTTCTGGAATCCCTCTTCGCACCCTTGGAATGGCTTCCCGTGCGCGCCGGGCCAAAAGAACTCCATAGCCAAGCGGTCCGCAACCACTGCTTGGACGAGATGGCTGACATTCAAGTGGTCCTTCGTCCTCCAGCTATCATTCCACGTGACCCAACCAAGCTCTACCTTAAACTGCGGGAACTTGTCGATCTTGAAGCCCTTGACGTCGATCTCAAAGTACTCACGCGCCCATTCAATTGAGCTGTCAAATACTGCATCGAGTGACTGGACAATTCTCTCAAGCGATTTTGAGTCGTCATCTTTGCCTTTCGTAGATTCTTGCTCTTGTAGTTGTTTTAAATCTTCTTCCTTTTTGACTTTCTTTTCGAGGTCCTGGATTTTCCGTTCTAACTCTTGCTTTTCGGCCTCGAGTTTCTGTAACTGCACCTCGACGTTTTCAAGGTGCTGTAACCTCTCTTGTGTAACCGCGGGCTTGGTGTCACCACCGTGACCACGGAAACGTGGCCATAAAGAAGTCATGAGTTTGGTCGCCTTGTAACGGAAGCACGTCTTAATAGCTAAAGTGTTGAGTATTTGTGATATAGGTAGGGATCGAGAGGAAGAGAGTACTGTAAATTCGAATTTATCTCACGAGAGGAAGGAACAGGAAGCTCGGAGAAACACCTCCCAACGTTATCTACCCAGGCAAAAAGATATTGCTTTGGTACTCATCTAGTGGATATCTGGCACCACTCATTTGCTTCGTACACACGCTTCCTCGGGCACAATACCTACGTGTTATTGGAAATACCCCGCTTTATCGGTGAACAAACAACCAATTACTATTTATGAGCCGGTTGCTTGAGCTTAATCATCAAACGGTACGTAGCCGAACTAATCAAAGGAGTGACGTCCATGACGTTTCTGGATTGCATGTAGGTACATACATGTAGAACTCTTCTATGAATAATTATATATGTCAAAATCCTGCATGGGTATGATACCAGATATTGGTGTCAATAGTTAAAAACAAAACCAGTGCAACGGGGCGAAGCGGTACCAGGGATAATTTGAATAGATTCATTTGAAATTTTGAGTGGAGAATCAAAATTTATGTTTCGATAGTTGCACTGATTTATCGAACGCTCAAGTATATACACTTATAGTTATCCTGTAGAATTTTTCGGGCTTCAAGTATTCTGTGATAGTTAGGCTGTATGATCTATTTCGGCCGTGAGATTTAACGTATCTACTGGTACTAGAAAGACTACTTCCAAAAAGTAAGAATCATAAAGCAAGTGCAAGTGATAGGTATATCTTCCCCAAAACACCGCTCTAAACCCAGAGAAAAAAAGAAGGAAAAAAACCAGACTATTAGAAAGAAAATCTATGCAACCAAGGTTTCAGATCAACTGAAATCTTAACCCTCATACTCCGTCATAAAAGCTTCGTGAAATTTCTCCAATTTCTCCACCCACTCGGTCCCAGGTGCCAAGAAAGTTGTTCTGAAATGCCATGTCCCTTCTTTCTGCCCGAAGCCCGATCCCGGAACAGTGCAGATACCAGTAGCGTCAAGTAGTTTCATACAATAGAACTCATCCGGCTTCTGGCCTTGCTTTTTGGCAGCCTCGATGGCCTTTGGTGGTATTGTGATGGTGGGAAAGAGGTACATAGAACCAAGAGGATCTTGGCATGAGACACCACGCATCTTGCCAAATGCCTTATGAAGAGCTTGGGAGCGCTCTCTAAGGTCTCCAAAAATGACTATGATGGCAGTGTTAGTATGTTTTATAAGGAAGTAAATCAATCGGCTTACCATTATATTCCTTGTCATACAAATCATAAGACTCACTGCCTTTCTTTGGTGGGTTGACCATAAGTTCGACTAAACATTGGCCAATGACTGGGGGGCACAGTGTGATAGAAACAAGTTTGTAGATTTGTGCCTGTACCTCCTTATCGAACCCTACCAGTTCAAAGTATCCTGCACGGTGTCCGCACTCGCCGATCATACCCTTTGAAACTGAGTGGAAGCTTACTAGTTCCACATGATCATACTTTCCAGGACTCTCCTTTTGGAGGTTCCTTAATACCTTCTTAAAAGAGTGAAACTCGCCCTGATAAACATTTGTCTGGTAAACCTCGTCGGCCATGATGACAAGATGTTCTTCAGCAGCAAGAGAGATAACATCGGCAATGTTTTGCTCTGTCAGAGTGGCTCCGGTTGGGTTACCGGGATTGATGACAACGATGGAGCGCAATTCAGTACCAGCAGCTCTTGCCTTGGTAATTTCTTCACGAATGGCCGGCACATTGGTAGCCCAGGACAAAGGTTCATCCAGGTAGTATGGAACTGGGGTAGCGTCGACGAGTGCAAGTGTAGCAGTGTAGAGAGGATATTGCGGAATGGGGATCAGAACGCCGGTTTCTTTAGAGGCACAAATGGTATGTAGAAGTGTAGAAACGCCGGATGATGCGCCGGCGGTGAGGAAAATGTCATCTGGGTCGGCCGGATGGCCATCACGTTCTAAGGAATCAAGTTAACAATCTTATCATCACCAGATACAAGTAATTTACTAACCTTCGATAAACCTTGCAACGCTCTTTCTGAGACCGAAACAACCTTGGCTCTGAGAGTATGCACCCACACTCCCCACTTGCTCCAAAAGCCATTTTGCCCTCTCTCTAACGTCTTTCGGAAACAGACCTTCATGCTCCAATAGAGCGGGGTACTCGAGGATACTCAGAACCTGCCTGATGAATGTAAGGGGCTTCTGGCCTAGCTGCTGCGGGTTTCCGATGTTTGCAGAAATAACGTTATTGAATGGAAGATTGTGGTTTGGGGTAGCGGAATCACTGCCTGAGGCAGAGACGGTACCAGCAGCAGCAAGTAGTTTCCGGTATTCTTCTGATTTGATGGGGATTGCTCCACGCACGGCATATTCGGCCTTTTTGACGTGGGGATTGATATTTGAGAGGTTGAGAGCCTTACGAGGGGCAGAGGTAGACATTGTAGTGGTTTGATTCTGATGAACTGTCCAAGTTGCTCATTAGAATACGAACAATGACGTTGGTTTGTATAGTTGGGGAGTAGGGGAAGGATGTGGTGGCATTAAGAAGAAGACGGCGTAGGAGGATGTCTGAGCATTTGAGAGAGCTTCGCTGTGCATAGACACGGAGGACGGTTGATAGAGCCTATCCATCGCAGCGACGCACTCGTGGCAATCCCCGAGACCCAGATCCAACTGTGATGAACTGACGATATGGGATGGAGCTTACCAGCACTGGTATATTGTAACTTTAGTCCTACAAGACACGGTATCGGCGAGGAATAGTGCAAGCTCAATCGACCTCGAGTAGTAGCGATCCTGCGGGTAACAGGAGACCAACCCATTGCGATCTACGACCTTCTTAAATACTTGCGAGTATGAGGTTACTAGTAATCTAATCTGTCTGCGGAAGGGATGGAGGGGATGCAGTGCAGAGGGTTCAATGCATGGGGAAGAGGGGTGCAAAGAGATGGGAAGCAGGATGGATGGGATGTTGGTCAGCCCACGCGTATTAGATAGGGAAACGGGTGTAGTTACGATATGTCAGTCAGACAAGACAGTCAGTGGAAGAGTTGCCGGGAACAAAAGCGTGGGATCCTGGTGGGCAGGGCGGGGTGAAAATCTCGGCTCTTCGCTTATCATGCAAGCCATAAGTGCCCCACATCGTATCAAAACCAGTCTGCAAAGAGAAAGAGAAAGAAGGGTCCCCACCACCAACCACCTCCAAGACTGCTTTGTACCTACCTACAGGTACTGTACCTACATACTTTACCTCTATCATCCTCCCCCTTGCTGTGCTCGTGCTCTGTAAGTACCTACATGTACCCACAGTATCTTTCAGACTAGAGTTGCGGGGAAATGCGCAACTTGAGCGAAAGAGGAAGATTCAAAAATCGTGTCACCGGTTGGTCCCGATCCGCAGAACCCGTAGAGATCCTCGGCTGATACCGAAAGCTGGATTTGACTAGTAAATATCCGTGGGGGAAAGGAAGAATTGATTCCTTCTAGAAATTACACATCGTAACTCACCCCCCTACACGTGATAACTCGGTGATAGGACCCGGAGAGTCTGATTTGTAGGTTCTTTGTATGTTCATAAGGCTGCGGATCGAGTTGCGATGTTTTTCGACAGTAACTGGTTGGTTGACACACTGCATCAAGTAATTGATCCCACCGGTATTGTACTCTTCTCAGGGATAGGCGGTTACTTTCTTAATCATCGACAAGGACCCCCAAAGAAACCCATTTCTAGTCTCTTAAGATCCCCATGAGAGAGAGCACATACATGTATGTTTTCACATTATGGACATTTATGAAATATTGCCAAGACTTTGTGGTGAAAAAACGGAGAGAATAACGTTACATCATAACATGTAGTTGTTAGTCAAGGAATCGCCGGCAATAGTGAATTATCGAAGAAAGAAAGAACAAAAGGGAGAAGAAAGCCTGGATTCGGGTTAATCACGATATCATATCAGCAGGATACCAACCTCCGACTTGATTAATAGCCACTCGGGGGTTCCTTCGTGTACTCTGGGTAGCCGGTCACAGGATAAAGTACTTTAGGTACATGTGTGTATATTATGATTATCTTGGGTGAATAAACAAAATTTAAATGAAAGGATTGCGTAAAAGTGCTTAGATTGCGTGTGTATGTGTGTGGCACCAGATTGATTTTCCGATCCCATGGTTCAAGGTTTAGTAGTAGAATGCCGATGACTGTCTGAATTTCACATATTACTCATTCTGCGAGTTGATTAATGGCATAGACATTCTTCACATGGATCCAGGTCAAACAAGACCAGGAGCTATAACTACATGTACCATGTGGAAGATTCGGTGTCTGTACTAAAATCTTGACCGTCTAGTAGGTCGATGAGCCGAGCCGACTCGAGCTCGGTGCTTCTTCAAAGGGAGCTATATGATTTTTCATAATCCGGAGCTAGGTTACGCTAATATAATTCTCTTTGAAGGAAATATAATGAGTGGTGGTGGTACTGGTTTCGGGGAAGAAAGATTTGCTCAAAGCGCCAGTCCATCATACAAATACCACCTACAAAACTTGGCAGAAGAATATTTTGTTACTTTTTTGATCATTGACCACCGGCTCGAGGTATATCACAAAAATCAAAAACTCGAGTTCTAAAAGGCATATTGGTTCGTAAAGGTATTGGGCTGGCCATGTACCACCCTAAGCTGTTATAGTAACAGTAATATTTACCATCGCCTGGTGGGCCGAAACATGCTCAGAATCTGGTGCTCTGCATATTGTACAAACCCGGTGCTTGCTGCCATATAGGGTAGTGATACAGTTGAGATTTCAACAAGAAACTCCCATAAACAGTAACTTTTGGCCCAAATTTGCCAAGGCTGCGCATGCAGAGCACCAAATTCTGAGCATGTTTCGGCCCACCAGGCGATAGTAAACGCTTGTAAAAAGTAAGTTGTGTTCTAGAAACCCGGTTTTGTTTGCCATGGGCAGCATATTGATTAATGAGTAATCGTAGGGCTAGCCAAGTAATTAAATCCATTTTAAATGAGCTTTCACGCACACATGCATACATGCAGGCAGAATATCGATAGAACCAATACATAGTTAAGATATGCGGCCAAGTATGCCATTAATTATCCGATAGTCTACTTCGAGATTTATGCTTCACGCACACAACATTTATATACAACTACATGTACATGTAGGGTGGACTAGTTAAAACCTTTTTACCAAACTGTCATCCACTCTGTGAACTTCTTTTGAACGAATTTCGAAAATTCCCTTGCAACGATGCGACCAACTTGTTCTGATGGATGCAATTCGTCGTACCAGAAGAAGGAATCACGGTCATTGGGACGGTATGTGGTGCCTATCCAAAAAAAAAAAAAAAAAAAAAATGCATTAGTTTCTGTCTTTCATTCTCATAAAAGGGGGAGTTAAGCATACATGGTCCATCAAGGACGCAATGAAGGTTGAAACCGGTTACGTTCAATGGGAGAGATCCATTCAGGTAGTTTGCAGGGTTAATGCGGATGTCAGTCAACTATTCACAGTTAGTAATCTTTCGTTATTTCTGAATCGCAGGCTTCGCTCGGCAACTTACCAGTCCATAGGTATCCATCATGGCTACTTTAGCACCTTTCAGGGCTCCGCCGTGAATCTCCACTGGAATTCTGTATTTGAAGATTTCGTTTCCACCTTGCACCAGATCTCTCATCCTAGTGCTAATGACAGTCGCGTTTCCACTTCTCCCTCTCCAGAATCTATGGGGTCCCTCACTGCCGCCTTCGCTCAAAGGCGCATAAAGTGGTGCGTGCTCAATTGGTGCCAAGCTTAGCAAAACAAAGTTTCTTGCTCCATAGTTATAGAGCTTGGACATTGTTTCAAAGACACAGCTCGTGTAGTTGGTCAGTCCTACATTCGGTAGGCCGGTGATGATGTTGTCGCCGCCGAGGTCATTGGTTCCGATCCAGATGGCATAGAGTGTTTCATCATTTGAAAGCTTCCGAGATTCTTTTGGGAAGTCTGCGAAGAATGCTGGCACCTCGTATCCAAGGATGTCTGGGAATAGACCGTTGATAGAACTTAGATAACGTGGAGTGAGCGAGTTTGAACAGACGGCGCCAGAAACGGCGTAGTTGTAGAGAGTTACACCTGTGTATTGTGCAACGAAACGAGCCCAGCTTCGGCCGCCGGAAGCAGTGGAGGCACTCTGTTTGGTCAATCAGTATATATAAGACAACTATGAATGTAGCTAGCGGATTGGCGGGTGTTAGATCAGGGTCGGCAGTGGTATGTGTCAAGACCCAGCCACCCTTAGTATGAAAACCAAATAACTAAAGAGGAAAATACTGACATCCTGCTGAACATATCCTACAGGTGGTGCTGATCCATTGTGACTGGAGAAGTAACCTAATCGGCCTTCGTCCGTGTAGCTGATGGTCTGTTGTTAGACTATTAATCCACAAATGGACATCCGGAAGGGAATTACCTGTCACCAAAGACAACCAAGTTCTTAAACTTGCCCCATGATGATGCTGCTGAATCCCGGGAGAATACAGCTCCTTCCTCTGGGTTCAATGGGCTGGCATAGGCAGATAATGCCAGAAGAAGTGTTGAAAGAACGGGTATTTGGACAAACATCGCAAGTAAATTTCCTCTTGAAAGAATCTGATGAATGGGGGGGACTGACTTAGCAAAATTCAGATTCTTATACTCTTGGGATCCTCTTTATATAAATATGGTCTGTCTGGATTCTCATCCGAGGAGGTACTGTGACACGGGAGCTCTGTGTTTTGTAATCTTGGCTAATTTCAAAGCAGGGTTCGTATTCAGCCTAGGGCAAAAGAAAACGTTTAACCACAGCATTCGGTCAACCGGATTTATGATGATATACCTTTCCCGTTGCTTTATTTGCTCTTATTTGTTTGTCACCGTCAATAAAGCCTAACGGTTTTCCGGGGTATTAAGCTCAACCAGGGTCTGACATCGCCAAAAGCCTTGGATCTGCAAGATCAGGCACACAAGCGCTATATATCCGTGGGGAACTGCGGATTTCCCGGTATTAACCATCCCGAAAAGGATCATGGCGGCCATTTTCCTATTAGCTTAATTACTCCTTTTGAATCGTAGTCGGGCTTGATGTTAAATCCAGTGTTTAAAGCCGTTTTTTAATGCCCGAATATATGTACAGAAGTTTTGGTAACTTTTGGTTGCCGTTGCAACACAGAGTTTGTATGGGAACACCATACAAAACCAGAAACACTCAAATAATGACTTAAAAATTAGACCACACATGCCTGAAGAATAGACTCAAAATTCTAGAATTCTCTAAGCTCCATCTTGAGATAATTTTGAACTATCCTTGAAAAGTTGGAATTTTTTTGATGAGGTTGGGTGGTTGTTTCGGGTAGCGAAACATGGCTACTTTGGCTGTAAAAAGGGTATATTACCAAAACCTCTGTCCTAGTACTATACCTACATATATGTTGGATCAGTAATAAAGAACCGTCTGAGTACTGACCAATAATTTAAATCCATGACTTTGTATAACTTTCTGTAATATCATTAATTTCATTATTAAGCACTAAACATGCATATATGGCACTTTACTCATAATATATAACACAGAAGATTATTACAGTTATGTCATCTCAAGATATTGTCGCCTACCAGGCTTTATATCTTGTAGAGCAATAGGTCTCTCTCTCTCCTCAGGTACGTCCCCTGTGCAATCTAATTTATCCAACCGTTTTCGTTCTTTTGACGAGGTGCATAAATATATAGGATACGTTGCAACTATAGAAAAAAGTGAGAGTGGAACACTCATGGCGTACCGAGGATTGCTTTTTTTGAGAACCGCGTAGTATAGAGGTGGGAAAAGCATGGCTCCAATAGTGGAAGAAATTTGATACTTTGCGCCATCTTTGGTGAGCTTCCCGCGGCCACGGATGGCTGTAGCAAGAACAATCGGGAAAATGGATGACTGATACAGATATCTTAGCAAAAGGGCTGCGTCGAAAGAACACTATATAAGACTTACTTCCAAAAACCAAATCAGTTGAATCATCACAGTTCCTGTGCTCATACTTTGTGTGATAAGAGCAACTGCCGTGGTAACAGTGCAGCCTGTCAGAGCAGCAAGCAATATATAACGTGGCCGTAAGGCGAGCATTGCAAAGCCTGCAACAAATCTTCCAGCGACGAATAAGCCATGGCTGGTTGTTGAAGAGCTATACACTGCTGAGGTGCCTTGACCAAGATATGTACCCGAAAACCTAGAAAAGATCTCTTGAGCGCCAGTGTATAGGAACTGAGCTACAACACTCCATGCAAATCCCACAGCATATTCACCCTTCCATAGTGAAGTAAAACCATGCCGCTCAGGACCTGTAGGGAAGTCTGTATCCCTAGAAGTTCCAGGAGTCATGTCAGCCAGTGAAAACCAAGACCAAAGACAATGAATTAACAAATTAAACATACTTCATCTCTGGGATTTTTGAATAATAGAACGCAATCGCTAACAGGAAAACGAAGAATGCAATTCCCAGGTATACCCATTGCACACCTCCAAGTGAGGTTTCGCCTTCTAGTAATTCAGGTAGGACCTGACTTGCCACAAGAGGCCCTATTAAAGCTCCAACAGCTTGAAAGGCTTGTGAAATACAGAGGCGGGACTCGCAATATTTCAGGGGGCCGCACAAGACTATGAACGGATTTGCTGCAAGTTCGATTCTTTACCGTTCTTTAGCTAAATTCATTCGTTCGTTTGTATTCTAAGGTAGGCACGTACGTTGCGAGGCCAAGCCCCAAGACCACCATAGAAACACAGAATCCGGCATAACTTTTCAATACCGCAGATGGCCAGAAGATCAAGCACCCAGCACCATTGATACAAAGTCCGACAATGAAGGTGACCCTAAATCCGTATATTTTCAAAAGGGACCCTGATAATAAAAGCGGAGCGGCAAAGTATCCACTTCGGATATTGTCAATAATTAGAAAGCCAAAATAGTATCAACTTGGGTTGTACAAGAACTAACCTAAAGTATGCTGAATGGAGTCCGAGTGATCTTGATACTGATATATTCAACAAATCCTCGAATCGTTGATTTATTGTATTGACAAATCCATACGCAAATCCCCATAAGAAGAATAACACAGTGACTAAGGAAAAGGGTTTCAAGGACTCCCTAAATGTGAGAGCAATAGCGGACTTTGGTGGCTCAAAGGTTATGAACTCAGTGGAGTGTAAAGTTGAGTCAATCGTGTCACCAAAAGAAGCTGATCCGGATGATCCAGAGACACCGATGCAACCGGGAAATAATTTAGCGATGAGAGGCTTGATCATTGGTACCGAAGCACAAATGATACCGGCGTTAATTTCGACGCTACTCCACATGAAAGATAGCGCACCATTCCCTAAATCCAGACATTAATTAAACCTTGGTCCAGCACCAAGAACAGCGAAGATTCCTTACAAGAATTTACATGAGTATCTTTCGTTATTCCAGAATGAATGTGCTCTTTCGCTAGTGCCCTCTCAAAAAAATATATCCTAATGATGCTAACAATCGAGGTCCTATATTCACTCAAGGTTATAAGATACGCTATGCTTCAGCCATAAATTACTGAGGAAACTCACAATCCACCTCCAGCAAATACGGCAATCAAAATAATCTTCTGCTTCTTTGGTAGGCGAAGTGATGTCAAAACTGGCATTGGTAGAATCAAGATTAGCAGGTCGGTAATGACATTGAGAGGTGCCGATGCATAGATAAGTGCATATGTCTCAATGCATCTGGTCGTCCCAGGCATATCTGCTAAAAAGGTGGCGGATAGCTTGAAGCACTGATTAGTCTTATTCTTAGAATTTTATTTTTATTTCAGTGATTACCGGGTTGCATTGGAAAGCAACAAGAAATGTCATAACAAGACCACCGATGTTAACAACAATTAATGTTGCCCAGTTCCCCCACTGGACCACCCTGAAATTTTGGGATATGCTGAGATAGAATAGCAATATCGAGGTTTTTGTTGTCATCAGTGCAGGGTGCTATTATTGTTAAAAATGTTTGAAACCGGGCGGCTGTTATCAGGACACTTACATAAAGCAAAGTATATACAAATTGTGTCTATAGAGACGACCATCGAAGCTTTAGAGTCTTCAAATCACCGAGGTGAAAACTAGAACTTAAAGAGAACTTACCTTCCGTTCCAGCACTTGGTTCTCTTTAGAGAGAGTGTCGTGCCCTAGGCCATATGTAGTGCCCAAATATATGGAGAAAGAAACCCCGAAAGAAAGTATCTATATGGTTTGAAATTAGCACAAAATATTTCAGATTCTTGTCTTCCACGAGTGTCATTTATAATCGCATACCCAGGAAAGCACAATCAACCAGTCATCGGCGTTAACCTTCTTCAAAATGAGTCCTCTCGATACAAATCGAAGCACTACAGCGGTAAATGATAATCCCAAACATATCATTATAACCATCACCACCACCGACGTATCGTGTTTTTCAGACATGTTGATACCGTAAGATCGAGGCGTTACCCTCAAAGTAGAAGGAACCACAGAAATCAGTCAATCCAAGGGACATCCGTGGTTTATAAAGGGGTTGTGGGGAAAACGAAGCTTTCCGGGGAAGTGGGTCGACCCTTAGGACCCTTTTTCTGGTTGAAGGGCTTGATGACGGTCAACAGCGGCAAGAATAGCGGGGGGAGTCCTTTGTTGTCGTTCAGGCCTGCACGGATCTCCATGAGATCTTTGTGAATCCTTCAAGAGAGTCAGTCGTTATAAGATTACTGACCGGAGTCGTTTTTGTAAAACATGCCTGCTGCGACATCAATGCAGCATGTTCTAAGAGGGTTCCAGCTCACGCGAAAGAAAACGTTTTTCTGAATCAGTGCCAAGGGATGGGTGGAGTTTTAATACCGGCTTGTCGATGATCAGCGTCGCTATATTACAAGCCTGCGCCAGAACCTCATGAGGTTGAGACCCTCTTCTCTGGATCCACTGAAGAAAGTGATTTGCCTTTCCTGGAAATTTGCAATAATGAACTTGGATATATAACTGGTAACGGGATAGAGTTAACTGCTCCGAATTCACAAACCCGGAGCTCGGCCAAGCTTGACTTGTAGAGTAGAATACACCGTGGAGTACGGCGAGTATCTCAGGGTCTAAATTGATCGGCTTCTGGACGTGGGAAGCTGCCGATTTTGTATGAATTCTAGCAGACAACCAATTCTTATTGGTTATGACTACAAGCAGCATCCAGGTCAGTAAGAGTAAAAAGCCCAGGAATCCCTAGGCTCTAATGTGAGGTCCCGGACTGCTGACCGAACTGGGTATGAATAAGAAGCCCCAGTTTGCAAGGATACCAAAGATATTGATAGAAGAAGGCCTCTTCAGTTCGGACTAGTCTTCCCTCTTTTGAAGTCTCGCTTAATACAGACGAGCCCGGCTACCACTCATTCGGGGGTGAGAAACCCGGAACGCTACCGAGCGTTGTATGTATGGTGGTAATACGCGGAGTACCCCTGGTGTAGATGCTCTAGAGTGCTACTGCTACTCCACAGCCTCATATATCTATGCCCAGGAACAAACAGGTGGGTATTCTAGAGCATAAGTTCCTGCAAGGGTGGATTGAGTACCTGGTAAACATATTTTCCCTTTCTGTTTGAGGACCAACACTACATTATCGTCACACAGATGTTTGAAATCTGGGGATCCGGGACCTGTGGGGAATAATATATAATCGGGATGTAGCGTTTGACGTTCATCTCGGACCGTCCTACGTATGTATACTTGGATGTCCCGCGGGTGTCGCGGCTCCTCGCACGCCATCCGAGGCAGTTCGAACACTTTCTCGTACATGTACCCAGGGTGTCGGAAAATGATGCACACTTGGTGATATCTCAACCATGAGAGAATTAATCTTCACACAAGTCTATCTTGAGGTCAATTTAAGTGTGCGGATTCCTTTCATAATGAAAAAATGGGTGGGAGGGTCTGTCATTGATACTTTTTGAGTTTTTACTACTGGTTTTAGCTATCTAATAGTGACTGCTTGCCTGAAGAATGGTTATTTCACATTCAAATAACACTAAATGTATTCTTGGGCATTACAGAGATGTCCTACACTCGAAGTTTGAATTTAGGGAGCGTGTTGCGTTGTGCCAAAATATAGGTATTTGGGTAATTGGGCGTTGCCAGGCCAAAATGTGCATCACTTTCCAACACCCTGGGTACAGCGATGGGTAATAAGTGATGGAACGCCCTGAGATACAGTTATACCTGCAAGCACCGTATATTGGTGGCGTTTTACCCAAAACAGGTATCACTGTGTCAGCCCGTTCCATCACTTATTACCTACCGCTGTACATCTACCTACTCCAGCTGGCAGCGTCGACAACCACTGCCCAACTCCACACACCACATGAACACAATTTGGGCTGTGAACACAATCCGACCAGATGATGAGTTAAGAGACATTTCAATGCCCAACTAACTATTCCTCGTGTTTAGAGGATTGTTTATTACCTGAAACTTCTCACCTACGTCCTACGTCCGCGCGTACCTACATTCACAACAATGTTTGAGGCAGTAGGATTAAGCCTGAATTTTGAACCCTTACCGTGCGTTAATTTCATGCAACTTGTGATCCGAGGTTACTAACGTAGCACCAGGTCGCTACCTCTCGCTAGGTAGGTATCACACCGTGACTGCCACTAACTACACTGTGCCAGATCTTAATGCACACAATTTTTCGATCCTGTCACACAAAACCTGTTTCAAATACCAAACTTGCTGACAGAATGTTGCGTGACTACATACGATCGCGCAAGAGAGATAGCAATCCCCGAAACAGCAATTCGCTTTTGTGGGCCCAGCTAGACTTATCGAGAGGCACATGTGCCGGTATATATGTTCGGGCTAAACATAAGGATGCCGATAAAACGCTCAGATTCGGGAAGTTGCCGGAGAGAATCAACCAGCCATAGCCATACCCAGGGGCACGCATACATGCATGTTACTCTAGGGTCAGAAGCCTGGACAGATCAGCGCGGCCAGTCCTCCGTTGGACATACGTTCTGGAACTTCAATTTGGTTTTGAAAAGATAACAGTCAACATCGTTCCAAAAATCATAGGATCCAAGCACTTATGTACATGGAGTCGTCCCATAATAATACCTAATGTAAGCATGCTTCATGATAATGTTCCAATTTAGATAACTCCATATTTCCGCCATGCAAACCCAATCCAGTCTATTTTAGATATTCAATAATTAGAACTAGCTTTATTTGCTTAAAACAAAAAGACAAATCTTTGGTAGGGTTACTTCCTGCTGTAAGTACAAATACTTTCTAGTAGTACATACTAGCTTTCGCGATGGACGCTTACCGCTAGCCAACATCATTACCATTGATTTGTGCTCATTATCTTCCAACCTTTAAATAAGTACATAATGTACCCCAAAACGACTTTGACTGCTCGCATTCCATCCATTACCCCGCACCACACCCTGTGCCGCCGTGGTTGCACTGCCTTCACTGCAGGCTTGATAAAGACCAAACAAATGAGGGATTTACATTTTCCTGATCAAAAGAAATTGGAGCATCATTTGGCCACTTGAAGATGATGGCAATATTTCGGAGGGCCCCGGTGGGGGAGGAATCCATTCACGTAGAACGAGAAGCTACATGTACTGAACTACTGAACATAGATAAATAGCAGGTTGTCATCAATGAACACTGCACATCTCCGACATACCACGCGTCCGATTTAACCTTTTGATTGCAAGCAACCAAGCAACCTAGCACTAACTGACACGCAAGAAGTAGGGGGATTTGCCAGAAATGGGGTACAGGTCGCTCACCAGGAGGATAAAGCGGCTGCTTTCGACACGCCCTAACTTTATGGCAATGCACTGTACGACCACTAAAAGCTTCTGGGGAGTCTCGGGCTACGCTGATACATCTAGACTATTACTTGGGGCTCTGCATACTTCTCGGGTCAATCTTAATTTACATCCCTGGGGGTGTACCGTTTGTTGATGCGATATTCTTTGCTTCGTAAGACGCAATTGCTTCATACCTCCCGGATACTGAATGTCCTTATTATGACTTTGAAGAATATTCTAACGTTTCCTTCTATAGTGGGGCTGCAACACAATCAGGTTTGAACACGTAAGTTAACGTTTGTGATCTTTTCCCAGCTCCCATACATATATATCCCCATGCCCTATTGTTTCAGTGTCTCAGTTAGTTTTATGTGCCTTTTTTTTATGGGGATGTTAATTCTTCGACCATATTGCCATCAAACATAAACTACCATAGCTATTTGAGACTTTACATACAGCTAGAATATATTCTTAGGGGCATGAAGTTGACTTGAATGATAAAGCATCGACCTAAACAAAGTCAATACATACCAGCAAATCATAACGTACATCATACCTTTTATAACAACGCCGATATTTATTCATACGATCGTTGTGTTTGTTAGGATACATTGGTTTGAAAAGCGTTTCGAGCACATTGGTACAGGACCACCCTCTAGTCCTTATTTCAAATCTCGTGTCTATACAATTAATATTAGTGTAGACAGAAAACTAACTAGAGTATCTAAACAGTCCTAGAGGCCAAGGAGAATCGAGAGCTTCGTCGTACGATTTCCTTAGCACGACGTTCAAAGGAAGTGATCGGGAATGATCACTTTATTGAGCGTGGAATATGTTTGTTCTGCCTGGATTTGTGTCCCAAATTAAACTTCATGTGATCTGACGCCTTTTCGTGCGAAGCTCATCCAAGGTCCCCGGATGATATTGGTGTCCTCCCACCTCTGCCAGTTGGTGTGGCCCAACGAACTGAGACATCACATGCAGTAGTTGTCAAGTTAGTTCAGATGTATCCTGTCAGTTATCTATACATATGTCAATCTAACGTTATCTAATTGAGCTAGTACTACCAGAACAACCTTGGATGAACCTGGTATTACAGAGCCAACATCACCGCGTATTATATGGGATGTACCTATTCCCGCCCGTGCAGAAGGTGGGGTAGAGGAGAAAAACGGTACGTGATTCTACTATCCTTTGACGTTTGCGTAGCAAGCTAATCTCTAGGCAGATATCGAAAGGCCCATCAACTTCGAGCCACCACAATCGAGTATAGTAAATAGAAGTTCACTTGATACAATTCAAGATGACCTTGAAATTTCTCGTGTCGAGAGTCGAAGATCTAGACCACGCTCCAGATCTAGGTTTGGGGCCCGGGACAATTCAACTTCAAGATCAATGGCAAGGTCTCGCCGTGGCCGTTCTAGATCAGCGTCACCAATCAAAACCCCATATCTCTCATATACACCAAGCATTGGTAGAAACTCGCAATTCTACGATCTTAATGATGACCAACGGAATGAACTTGGAGGAATCGAATATCGGTCGTTAAAAACATTATCCTGGATTCTTATTGGTACGCCGTAGGGATTAATTATAACCTAGGCTTGGGGCTATCTAGCTAATGATGAAACCTCAATTGCCAGGGTACTACGTGATTATCCATTTTCTTGGCATTATCGTTCTTGTACCATGGGTTCTACGAAGCCAGGAATATGGAGACCTTGTCAAAGATCTTGCGCTGAACAAAGTCTGGTGGTATGAATTACTCGGTCCTTGATTAAGATTCAATGAAAGCAACTCTAACCCGAAGATAAATCAGGGGAATTTACACTGCTATGACATGTTTTAATGATGTTGGTAAGCACTTAGCCTTAACCTACCCTCGGAGATATCTAGCTCATTCCGGGTTTAGGATTCACCCTTACACCGGATTCTTTCATCTCCTTTCAGAAAGCAGCCTTTATATTAATTTTCTGCGGTCTTCTGATTGTGGTTGGGTACGTAATAATATATGCACAAGGCCAAAATTCAGTATACTATAATCAGCTAACTAACTATTCCCCCACTCTAGAAATACTGGATTCCCTCTATTTCTGAGATTTATTATCTGGATTTTATTCGTTCTATGTCCAGAGAAATATGTCGACACAAAAGATGTGGGTATACACCTTACAAAATAGATAACCCGATTGGCTAAGAATCAATACAGGAACTGAATTTCCTCCTTGATCACCCTCGCCGATGCTTTACATTATTATTTCCTAGCAGGGTACGTTTTGCAGAGCCACATCATCATCCTTTATAAGTTTAGGGGGCTAACTATCTCCTTACTCTAGCCCACCTGGTGGCTCTTCGGGATATTGGTGGTACGTACATCCGCACGCGCCCAGCTTTATTTATCCGAATTTCAAAGTTAAAGTCAATAGGGATTGAATCTTGCAGATGTCATCCTTTTTCTTGTGCTGGACGTAAGTACACGTTTTGCCTTCTCCTCTTGAATGAGGTCGACTAATAGTTAATGGGAACCACGCATAGTATCAAACACCTGTCGTCAAATCTCTTCCTGTTGGTCTTAGAATCGTAAATGCATTTTTCCAAGCAGTTTCCACCCGAACGTCTGGCACAGCATCAATTCCTTTGGGCGAACTTCACCCAGGCATACAATGCAGCTACCTTGGTAGATATGTCTCTTGAAAAATCTTCATGAATCTTCTAATCCCTCAAATAGTGATGATGTATATATCCGTTTTACCGCTTGCAATTAGCATTAGAAGAACAAACGTATACGAAGAGCACTCTCTGGGGATATACGTCGACAATACACCACAGGCGAGTGATGGAGATGAAGGGAAATATATTATGGCACACGTCAGACGACAACTCGAATTTGATCTGTGGTATGTATTTCTGGGGTTGTTCCTGATTTGTGTTGCTGAAGGAGGGCGTATCGCGGATGCGAATGATTATGTATGTCCCAAATCCCAAATCTCCAGCCAGGTAGGATTTTTTTCTGATTTTAGAAGGCCTTCACTGCTTTCAGTGTGTTCTTTGAGGTTGTTAGCGCCTAGTAAGTACATCATATCTTATTCTCATCTAAAAAGTAGCTTACTCCCTCCAAGTGGAACTGTTGGTCTTAGTTTAGGATACCCTGGGCTCAATTGCTCACTATCCGGCACCTTTACTCCTTTCAGTAAACTAGTGATAATTGCCATGGAGGTGAGCATTGATGATTACTATTACTAAAATACATTATTGACACTAGATTATAGATTCGAGGTCGCCACAGAGGCCTTCCATATGATGTTGATAGAGCTGTGAGTTATGCTGTTGAGACAGTTGACATAATTTGCAGCTACTGATTTTTGGCTGCTTCAGGTTTTGCTTCCTAGCGTCAACACACCCGACTCAACTTTTGCTCCCGATGGTACACGTTTACAGCGAATTACAAACTCTAGACAAAGCGTTCATATCGCGGAGGATTAGGAGATTGTGTTAACGGTCACGGCACGGTAGACATGGCATCTACCCCTAATAACTTGATACACTGCCTGGCCGTATATGGTCAACTAGCTATAATCGTTCGAATTCCCCTTATATTTCCCACTAGTATTCACCCTCCGAAAAGCCTAAAAACACTTCTGTACCCTACTACTCTAATACTAAACAAAAGGAGGTTTCTTTCTTAAAATGATTAATTCAATGGTATTATCTGTATGTATGAATGCAACCTCCCCGATAAAACAAATGGAACCCAATTAAACTTTCCCGCAAAACACAATACACATACTCCGGAATGCACCTAAAACCTCACATGTCTACCTGTAAACCAAAGACTCCCACCTCGCTGCCCCAATCTCCCTCGATCTCGCCTCAGTTGACTTGAAATCATCTAAGCACAATCCATCGATCACTGACAGCGCATCATCAATCCTATCAAACAACTCTGGTAAAAAGCTACATGTGGCCTCATGCGATATCATCGTCATCGGACAATTTGATATCTCCTTGTGTTTGAAACAATACGGATGGGTTGCGGGACCATGCAAGGTCCACGGTGTACACGGCTCTTGCCTTTCACTCACACTCTCAAAAAACTGGATTTTTAAACCTCGAATTGTTTTCTCTACGTCGGCAATACTTCGGAGGAGGAACTCCTCGTGGGTGGGAATCAGACCTTTGGATCGGAACTCTCGGATCAGAGAGCCTAGAATCATGGTGTCACACTTTTCTGTCCGGGTACTTTTGCAGAATGTGCGGCCCCAGGCGAGGGTGTAGCGTTCTATGTAGGATAGTGTACACTGCAACATATCCCTAAGTGTGTTGCTCCGCTGCTCGAGTATCGAAGCTAGTTGGATCTATGTGAGCCGGGGATAGCGTAGTAGTTGCTGGCTAGAGACTTACCCATAACAGGTTCAGGGATAAGCATATCATCTATGGGGTGGCCTTTCAACAGTAAAGACCTTGGGTTGCTCCACTCAAACTCCCCTTCCATGATGAGTTTTTTCGAAAGCGACATGAAAATCTCGTCGATCCCAAACGTCCATGATATAAACAACCATCTCTCGAACCCTGGCTCAAGCGCATACTTCTTCCATACTTCTGTCCAAACATCCGCCCAGAGCGTGACCCCAGGTGCGCAGTCGTATTTATCACAGATGATGGCCAAATCTACTAGGTTTTGGAACGATATTGAGATTGGCACCTTCGAGCCCTGGAGATGGAGAGCGTTCAGGACAACTACGAGAGCTTGTGGGTCGTCTTCGCCGAGTTGGAGTACATATGGTTCTGACGATATCGCAGATGCGCGTAGCTCGCAGGCCTCTTTGAAGCTTGATGACGGCCCCAGCATTGCGCGAAATACTGGTGAAGCTATGCAAAGCACCTGAGACGATACCTTGAACCGCGCAGTTCCAGCGTCGGAGCTGACTTCGAGGATCAAGTCGCCGTAGGGTACAACATCGACAGTCGCCATTGGATCGTGGTCCGAGCTATATGTGTTTTCTCGTTCACCCGTCGTGGATTCTAAATGAGCGGTTAGTTTGATGTTTTCCTGCTGGCGAGTTCATGTAGCTATTAGGGGTGTATACCCACCATCACGACCCCCGTGAATGGAAGGCGTTGAGGCTGGTGTTAATATATCTTTCAAATCCGACGAGCTATCGACGGCATCAATGTCAGTAGTACAGTGATTTGCAGGCTCGTCTGTGATGTAATTTGCCGCCTCGACACTGCGATCCGTTTGGCCTATTTGAGTAAGCACAAATTCCTGACATACCTGGGGGGCGAGCAGGCGAGAGGAAAAAAAGGTGGTGTGAGTGCAATACCATCATCAATTGCGAGCTGAGCAGGAGCTTCGACTTGAACAGGTAGAGGTTGGCCCAGAGATAATTCATTAAGATCGGACATGGTAATAAACGAAGGTTCAGAGGATCGACGATGAGTTCGGTAAATGTTAATATACAATTCTACCTGCCAGCACAGGGAGAGTTTACCTGGTAACAGACAGAATAAGAAGCACCCCCGTGTGGTTTTCTAAAGTAATTTGAAGGGCCCCTTATCATGCACACACCTGGTGGTCCGTAGCTGCACGGGGGTTTGGGTGTGTAGTTGGCAGCTTGGCGTTTGGAGGCTCTTCCGGCGTTATCCGTCTTGGTAGGCGGGACACAGGGAATCACTCGGCGGCACTGTCGATGTCTGCCAGTGTTTTTTTGTTAATGGCGTCCGCCGGTGGGGAGGTCGAGCATGCAACTTACCTAAAGCACGAAACAGCAAGTGATGGGGGTAGTCTCGTACCCATCCCCTACTTAGCAGCAAGCTGCTCCCTGGAAGGATGGAAGCAGGGGGATTGGGGACGAGCCTAAGATGGGGGACATGAAGATACACTCAGAAGAGCAGCCAACACAGAAACATTAATTCGACTTTCGACTTGCAGTCCTACATACATACATTAATATCCTACACACACGAGTACAATTGTAAAAACAAACCTCATGATCATGCATGATTAATTGTATACTCAATACTCACGAGTGGTGCAACATTTCTCCCATGTCAGGCTTGTTCAGCACAACACTGGTTCTCGTCCTTGGTCGCTCCTCGAGTTCCACCACCGCTGACCCAGCACATGTACACTTTTCGGGAGCACAAGCACAGAGGGCCTCACCCCTCGCAAAGCTGCGCGGAATGTTTGAGCCAGTAGGCTCGATACTCGACATTGAGCCCTCGTATGCTTGCTCCACAAGTGTGTACAAGCTATCCTTATCCTCATTCAAACTATCCTCAAAACTCTCGTCGAGCTCATCCACACTAGTCCTTCTGTGCCTCATCTTGGTCGCGCACTCACCGCATGTACAGCTGCCCGGACGACAAGAGTATGCTAAACCGCCAATTGGCAAACCCCCCACCACCGCCTCCTGAGGTGCTCCTTTGCCATGCCCCTTAACCCTCTCTTCGAACCTTAGCAGACCGTCCACAGTGTCAACTACAGACTCCTCCAGCCCTCTCATATTCACTTCCAGCTCACTAGTCACCCTATTATCACCTTCATATCGACCACCAAACATCTCATCTTCCTCCTCCTCGAATGCCCCTGGAACACTATCGGCCTTTGGAGCTCGTCCTTCCGCAATAAGCCGTGGGAACCATCTTTCCACAACCTTGCAGATCTGCTTCGAGCTACAGACCCCTGCAACAGCAAAGAAACGGTCTTCTCCGGCGTCCCCACTGATTCCTCCTCTCATCAATGCTGCAACATGTACTTTGGCAACGTCTCTCACGTCTGACCATGGTCCAGTGGTATTTACAGGAACCGTGTCGGTGCCTCTGATGAGACGAAGTATCTCTGACGCAGGCTCTGTTGTGGGTGGATCATGTGCGGAAGGCCCGAACAGAGTCGGCACAATAACTGACGCTAGGGTGAAATTTGGGGAGTTGGATGATATGTATTTCCATGCTGCACGCTCGATTGGTGTTTTTGGAGGTGAGGTTTTGAGGGCTGTGGTCTAACACGGTGTGTTAGCCTTAAATTATGGCAAAGGAGGAGGAGAGTGCATACAGGGTCCCAATCGCTGCTTTCTCGATCTTTATTTAGATCGTTCATAACGGAGGTAAGTATAACCCGTTTTATCATTGGGTTATGCTTGCATATCGAATCTAGTATCCCTACGATATTTGTCTCCTGTCTTTGATCCCAGCTTTTGTAGGGACAGGCGGTGATGATAACCTACTCTCCGTAAGTATACACCCTCCAAACCCAATCGGTACATGACTACAAACCCCAGAAACACCTCTCACAACATCCTTAGATTTATCTCCCACAATACCACCTGCAACTACAACCTGCACTCGCTCCTCGCTTCCGGCGCACAGCCGCTTAACCTTCATTTCCTCATTTCGAGTACCAACGACCGCCTTAACTTTAAACCCGTCTTTCAAAAGGGCTTTGAGGATATGGCCCCCGACAAATCCATTGGCACCTATCACATGAGTATTGTGGTTTATTAGTAACATATTCATACATCGCAACGCAGGAACATGATATACCCGTAAGAAGAACCCTATCGCCGGCTCGTATCGGATCACGCTTTTGTTGTTGTTCCTCTTGATCATCCGAGTCAGGGCCGGTGACATTAATCGCTTGCAGTGATTTCCTAATCGTCTCCATGATTCGATTCTCGCTTTACCTTCGTTTTCTTGTATGAACTTTTGGGAACTCGAGGAGCTCGGGCTCGGGTCTATCTACCCTTTCTATAACCAGCACTGGATCTGGATCATGATGGAAATACTACATCATTATCCCGGCTTCCGTGGGTGTGGCGTGCTCTTGAAGGCAGAAATGGGTGACTTCATAAGGCTCTGGGAGGCTTAGCGTTGTTATTGTGGTTAACGGCTAGTGCGCCTCGAGTGATAAATGGTGGTTAGTGGGGCTCGAGTGATGGATGGTGAAGGCGCGGTTGAAAATGGGGCGGTTGTGATCATTGACGGTGTGTCTAGGGATGTGAAAAGACTATTGTTTGCGGGGCTCTCAAACCACAACAACTACAATTACAATTATAGGCGTATCCAGCGATCAAATATTTGGCGAATTTACTATCAGTGGTAAGCTGGGTATTAAAGAGCTTACAGAGTGTTGAATTCAAGTGAACATGCGTACAAGTTGTTGGATTTCAGCGCTTTGTACTGCCATCGATGCTGGATTCATTGTTATCACGATTCTGATCGATGAAGAAAGAGGATGTAAGTAGGCTGCATAAATGGTATTATTGCATTATCTCATAGTGCTCGGAGCGCGTAACAGGAACTTCCACCCATAACAAGCTCATGTAAAAACCAAACATGAAGAAAAAGCCATGATAACTATAAACATGAAGCATAAACATTAACACAGAAGCCATAACATTGAAGAAATAAAAAATAACATAAATCAAAACGCCATGTCCCATGCTCATGCCTCGATCTATCATGTCCCCATAACTTCACAAAAAAACCCATAAACCTCATTTACATCAACATCACCATCTGCTTCCTCCTTACAACATCACCGCCAACCCAACAACACCGACCACCACCGCCGCCGCCAACTTCGACACCTCCACGCCCCTCCCGGCCGCAGAGCAAATATACCCCTGCGTCCTCCAGTACGCGCAACCTGGGCGATTATACCGTCCATCATCCACAACAATCGTCTGCGTCGCCGTCGCGCCCGCCGCAAACACGCTCTGCACGGTCGTCACCACCGAATTCCCCTCCAGCGTCACCGTCGACACCAGATATATGGTTGTGGCGGTCTGCAGCACATACACGCTCGTGGCCACGGCTTCGGCCGCGTTGCTGCAGTCGCCGACGCCGGACTCGCCAGTGCCCGACAGGCAGATGCCGGAATTGCCGGTGCCCGAGTTGCCGGTGCCGGAGTTGCCGCAGCCGGTATTATCGGTGCCGGAGTTGGGGGCGCAGGTGGTTTGCGGGGCGCGGATGTGCAGGCCGTGGATTACGGGCGTTGTGTCGAGCGGGACGGGGGTGACGCGGGGGGAGGTGGAGGCGGCGGGGGAGGGGGAGGAGTAGACGGGATTCGCGAGGGCGGGGAGGAGGAGGGTGAGGGAGAGGAGGGCGGCTGAGAGTGGGAAATGCATTTTGTATGGGGTTATGATATTGGTTTTTCGTGTTCGTAAGTATTCGTCCGGACCGCTCGTTATAAGGTTGTGGGATTCGTGAGTGAGAGTTTAAACTTCGTAAATGTCCGTTATAAGAATGAGTATCTCGACTTCGTAAATAGTATCGACCGTAAAAGTGACAGTGATCGTAGAATGATGGGACGTGGATAGAGTCTCGTTATGAATATCGTGATGGCAATAGAATCTGAAACTCGTTCTTTGACTTCGTGGCTGTGATAATTGAGATCGTAATGGTCTTCAAAGAATAGTATTCGTTCTTTTCGTTCCAGTGCTTTCTTCGTCTCAGTGGTGCGTTCTTCGTAACTGCAGTGCGTGCTTCGTAACAGTAGTACGCTCGTCGAAACAATAAGACGTTCTTCGTACGTTTCTCGTAGTAATAAAACGTTCTTCGTAATAGTATCACGTTCTTCGTCTCAGTAGCACGTTCTCGTAGTAATAAAATGTTCGTCGTAGCTGCAGCACGTCTTTCGTCTTTCGTCCTTCGTTCGTCCGATTGTTCGTAAAAGAAACACCACTTCGTAACTAATCAACCGTATAACTTCAAAGTCGTCAAAGGCATCAACACACAAAAAGCGGAAATACAAACCGCGCGCACCCCTCACCATATATACATGTATCTATTTCCATCACCGCGCCCAGCTCCCCAAGAAATCAGAGAGGCTGGTAAAAAAAACCCACCCTTCCCCCTGCACAAACAAAAACCTGCCCAGAATATGCCGGCCGTTGCACGAAAATGACGCAGCACAAAATCTCAAACCGGCGCGAAGTCAACCACGGGCGAGAGGGGGGTTTGGTTACCCTGCAAGGCACGATGCGATCTAGCCGGGGGAGGGAGAGCTAGAGGGGGGTCTCATCCTCGTAATCACCGCTGTCTACAGGCAGCTACAGGCAGACACGATGCCTAGCTAGGGCTGGGCAGACATCAGCAACAACACAGCAGCACAACACAACACAGACGACGACTACCAGGCCCCCGTACAGGATTCACTTGCTCTCTCGGGTGGCTGGGACTGGACTGGTCTTGACTCTTGGGCTTGCCGAGTCCCGCTTACTTGCACTTCTCTACTTCAAGTCTTCAACTGCTTCCAGGTCAGAAACATCGCGGATAGGTAACCGCCCTGGCCTGTTTGGCGGAGATGAACAAGGGTCATGATGGATGCGGCGCAGGCTACGTACACGATTGTCGATAATCACTTTACCGCGAAAACAATCACAATAATAACAATAATAACAATAAATAATCGAAATTATCGGAATTGTGAATGAGCGGAAAATTAGACATCCTCAAACACAAGTACTGGTGCTACAATGGAGTACCCGAGAGTTGACGACATGCTCCAGATCCTGCTTTCTCTCTGAATGGAGTTAGCAGTGTACCTCCGTATCCCACATTCACTCTGAACTGTGCGGGTAAACGAGCTAGACCTCTCTCCATCGGGATGTCGGTGGCCATCCCCCTTCCCCATCCCCATCCTCATCACAGCATCCCCATCACATCACATCACATCCGAAACCATCCCTTCCATGGGCCGCGGATGGATGCAAGATGGATGGAGATGCCGATGGAACGGGTGACAAGTGACAACCATCCCGTTCGTGCATTGCAATCATGCAGGAACACACACAACACAGCCAGACTAAAGTAGCAAGACTCCTGAATTGGGCATCTCCAAGAGGCAGGGTGCCAAGAGAAGGAGCTTCTGGAACCCTTTGAGGTGTTACTTGGGGGTCAAACATGTGGAAACTCTACGATTGATGGGAGACTGGACCGGACTGCGCTGGTGAAATGAAATGAAAATGGGATAAGCAAACCTAGACGGAACTCCCGTTCGACATCAATGGCGAGGCCGTGGGGGGAAGATCAGGGAAGCTTAAGCTGGATATGCTTGATATGGCCGGCTTACGCGGCATGAGCCACCCCCCAGTCCGAGTTCTTGTTCAGTGCGGGTTATCTCGATTCAATTGGACTACCTGCATGTATGTATCTTGTTTCCAATCACGAGAAAAAGAACAATAGGTATGTATGAAGGAAAGAAGTGAAAATAAGAAAAAGAGAGAAAAAGACAATACATGTCATGACTACTTAGGTACTTATACATCATCATTAAAAGGGATTTTCTCGCAAATGAAGCTCTGCCCCCTCTCGGGACCGAAAAATCAAATGACCTAGATGCCAGAAAGAGAAGAAGATGAAGAAGAAAAAAAAAACAGAATCACCCAAACACTACAAAAAATCCTGAACGCCCCGCCTCCATCCCCATGTGCGTACAAGATAAACTTGCAATAAGAAAGAAAACCTAATGAAATTGGCATACCCGCCCCGTCCCACGTATTCATTCATCATTGATTCGTCAATTCGTTCCCGTTCCATCTTTCCGGTATTCTCTCCGGGATATTAATCTCGACCTTCTCGATTGCCTCCTTCAGCTTCCCCGCGTCCCGAACCTCGCTCTCCCAGTACGATAAGCAGCTCTTGGCCAGAGTGATCGCCTCGCCCCATTTATACGGCATAGGTTCCAGCACCCTGAGTTTCTTCACCGCCAGGATTATCACGCTGTTGCTTGTCAACGCTCTCAACGTCAACCACGCTCCGTGGTGTCGGTGCATTATCACGTTGGACAGGATGAAATTAATATCAATCTCCAACCCCTTCTTCGCATAATCCAGCATCTTGTGGTACCTACGGTGGTGCCGTGCGTGCGGTGCGTGGAGGAGGTAGTAGATAAACGGCCGATACACGCGCGACAGATTCCACCAATACCTCTGTCGCAGGTACTGCAACCTTTCATCTCCACAGGGCAGGCTAGGATCCGACGGGAACTTGAGGATCTGGGGAAGACAGGTCAACCAGAGGTCGAGCTGCAACTCGAATTCGTTGGCTGTGTGCAGGAGGTCATCTATGGTTGGCTGAGTTGTAGCCTCATCCTCGCCTGTAGAGGTCGACGTTGATGTCCCGTCATGGTTCCCTGCTGATCGTGGCGTGCGTTGCCTGAATGTGCACGACATTCGAATCTCAACCTTCCGGAGCGCAATTTCCGCCAAGTAATAGAACCAGGTCTTCTGGTCCTCCAATTGTTCTTCCGATGCCCGATCCTCGGTGGCATAGGCGCTGCGGGGTTGCTCAAAAAACGAGTTTGAGGATTGGAATGCCTGCGATGTTGAGATCTCTCGCGGTGGAGAAGGGAATGCGTGTGGATATTCGATTTCATTGAGGCCTGAATGGGAGATGTCGAGTTCTGCACACAGTTCGCTTGAAGGGCGAAGATAGAATTAGCTCTGCTGAAATCTTTTTTTTTTTTTAAAAAAAAAAAAAAACGGCACTGAAAGGGAAGGGTATGCACAGTTCTGATTTGAGACAACTCCAGTATATCCTTTGTTCCAGGTGTCGCGTTGGCTCGCTTGACGAAAACATGGATGGCGCACCATAGGATGCTTCGGCGATCTTGGCCTTCTCCTTGCGGTGCAGATAACCCTCGCAAGAAACAGAAGCGGCATTGAACATTTTCCAAGCCGCAAACTGATGGAAAGTGTACATGTGGTATATGCCCGTCAAGAACAGGCACTGCACTGCGACAAGCTGGTTCGACGACATCACGATCCCCAATCGTTTCTTGGCGGCCGCAAAATAGCGCTGACTGATCTCTGCAGAAGGGAATACCGTCCGAGCTGTGGGTGTCTCTGACATACGAGGCATTGATTTCGGGTTATAGGACGCTGATAGAGATCCCAGGGCACAAACCAGAAGCTGTGAATTTGTTAGGACCAACCATCAGACGAAAGCAGTATGCTGTACTCACAAGTAAACAAGCCTTTCCGGTCCAGCCAAATTCCCCAACACGCTCCACATGGTTGGCGTACTTTTCCAGTTCACTTGAATCCAAGATGGGATTTTTCGTGTGTACGTTTCGGAAGAATCTCTTGACCAGAATGGCAATCTCCCCCCGGGTTTGTAGTAAAACCTTTTCATCGATATACATCGGCCCCTTTTTGGTGCTAGGACTATAATCATCCCCATCCTGGTGCTCATGCTGTCCGTTCTGATGCTCCATCGAATGTCTATCCGGTCGGTAATCATTGCCCCAGCCTTGTGCCTCCCCATCCTCGGAATCTTCATCATCCGAGTCATCTCCTTTGTTCGCGAAAACAGGTGCCAAGATATCTTCTGTTGATATCTTTCCCTGGAAGACGGGCCATTGTAAAACATTTTCTACCCTCGACGCCGCAGCTGTTGATATAGAGATAGGAAATATTTCCGACGCCTCTGCTGGGTGATCTGAGCCCCTGAGTCCTGGTGAATGCGTCCTTATAGTGGTCGCATTACTCGGCATCACAGCACCTCCACTCGTAGATGATGCATGGGGCGAAGGGTGACTCGGAGGTTGGTTGTTTGCTGGAACATCTAGCAGCGCTTCTATCCTCGAGAGCCTGTCCAAAATGGCCAGAGAAGCCGCGTCGAATCTGAAGAAAAAATAACAAGCCGTCAACATAAATTTACCACGCTTGGAAGCTCACACGTAAATCTTAATCAGTTTAAAGAAGTTGGTTTCCATACGTAGCAAGCTTCTCGGCCTCATAAACACATTCGGCACCATTCTGTCGGCAGAACCCGCACTGTGGGCGCTGGTTGTCACATTTCGTCTTTCTGCCGCGACACACAAGGCACGCGCTGACAGCTCTTTTTCGTGGATAGCTGGATGCAGACCTTGATTTTACCGCGGAGGCATGAGGGCGCTTTGTTCCTAGCTGCTGTTGTTGCTGCTGTTGCTGCTGCTGCTCAATAGGAGGAGGAGGTGGTGGTGGAGGTGGAGGCGGAGGAGGAAGGGATCCTTCGGGGGCGGTCGGCGTTGGATAATAACGTGGATCCATCTGATCAAAGAAGATAGCAGTCTTGTTTTTGATGCTGTACCGGGCAGGGAAGCGATCTGTAAGGGTGATATCGGGACTCGCTCAATTGACCACTGAAGTCGGTAGACGTGTGATAGAGGTCAACCTAGCGCGTTGGAGCTCAGTTTAAAAGCCGACATTCCCCGCTCCCCGCTTTTTTCACCCCGTGGCCGGGAGGTCCGCGCTGTTCCTGAATGCGGCATCGCGTAGCCTTGTATTAAAGTTTCCCCATGCCGAGACCCCGGGGTAGCACAACCCCCAGAAAATAAAGAGACTTTGCCCCCTTTGTCCCTGTCAAGCTTTGATTTTTGATCTATCTGAGGGTGTTTCGATATCACTTCAAGCAGACATGTTTCTACATCCTGATTGAAGATGATGTTTGGAACCTGGTTGTTGTAATCCACGGCGAGTGCCAAGACTCTATTGGTACTTCATGAAATATCACTAAACAAACAACTGGCCCAACAGAAGGAACATCTAAAGAGCTGTGGATGGAAGTGCTCCAGCCCCATAGCCCCTTTGCAGCTCAAAATTCCAGGAGGTGGTAACTACACACGGAAGTTAGGGCCTGATTCCGAGAGGTGTTTGTCAGAATTACCATTACAGTATAGGACTGGGGTGGTATCCCACCAATCATGTGGCGATAGCCTTGGCCAGAGAATTGTCGTACACCGATAAGGCATTTGTCTTATTATCAATTGAGGGAGAAAAATGTGTTGTCTGGTTTGAAAGGGAGAAGATGTGTTTGTGAGGGATGTGCTCTCCTGAAGGGATGGGGATGGTCTCTGGGTATTAAAGATGAAATGACAATCTGTGACAGGTGATCCCGAGGATAAATAAAAAAACGCGCGGGGTACGGGTGCGGTACCGGAGGTTATTCCGATGTTTAGTCAGCGAAGTATATACATACGAATTCCGAGAGTATGTCGATATTTTAATTAACTCTGATACATGTCTTTATTGCCATATATCAAACGCACCCAGGAAATTCTTCAACCTTCCGAGATCACTGATTAAAATAGAGTGTTTATATTATTCTTTCCTAGAATAGCGGACACGAGCTACTGCTCATACGTCATTTGCCAAAATATGCCACCTGTCAAGTTAATTTCGTCAATCTATTCTAGCTCGCTGCTCAAACAGATCGAGAGCTTTCTTTTGCTCTTATTACATGGCCTTTTAAAACCATTGGGAATGAGGACTCTCTTTAACCGGTATACTAGGGTGATGACATATGGCCCGATTCATCGTACATTATATACATCATATCGAAAATTCATATATATACATGTATGTGTTCGCCTTTTGCAACTCGCCGTTTCTCTAGTATCAACGCTGCAACACCAGACCCGCACCCAAACCTGTCGACGAGGAAAGGCTTATACGAAAGGTACAAATGACATGGTGTGGAATGAGAGATCACTTCGACCTCATATTTGTGGTTGTATACTTCATGTAGTCAAAACTTTGGCAGATATATCATTCCCCATATGAATTTGTGGTTATGAACTTTTATAACACGTGGGCCCCTAGTGAGATGATATTATTAATCCAATTTCCAGATACTATGCAGTTCCCGAGTCTTGCAGCCCTATCACTCTTAACATGAGTAATATACGTGTGTATATCACAACTCATTTAATGTTATATTCTTAATATTTCGAGAAAGCGTAATACCGATATGGTATATCGATGGAAAGAAAAGCATGCATATACTGAGGCTTTGGTCTGAATTTATAGTGTTACTTGTTTGCGGGTAAATTTTATATATGTTGTAGTTTGTTTATTTACTGCCACTAGAGTAGTAGTGGTTGGTGGTGGGTATATATAATTACTACCGTCCATTCTCGATCTTCGGTCGGTATACTCAGATCTTTAAACCACCCAGTCCATTCGCCAATTCTTAAGATATCTTAACTAACAGTGGATGTAAGAAAGCTTCTACACTCTACTAGTGAAAGTGTAAATAAAAATCATGATAAGTAATGATAAGTAATTGATAGTACCGCGGGGCCATACTCATGATATTATGAGATTATTCAAATCGTGTTCACGGATAGATATGAGACCGTGCGTAGGATAAGAAATTTCATGAAGATTATGGTATTCACCGCTCTGTTATTTGAACTCAATCTAGCATTGATAGGTATTCGAGTGACGGTTGTCGTATTCTTGGGATATTTGCTTGGCGACTAATATTCGTATTAGTCAATCACTATTGAAAAATTTTCGCCAGCCAAGTCACACCAAGCCGCATAAGGCAGATGATAGTCAACATTTTGGCCGACGCACTAGGGGCCTTTTCAGGACTATAAGTTGGTCCTCTCCCCGCGTCCCTCTTTCCTCATTATGCGATTTTACTTCATAGGATCATTTCTATAGTAAATCGCCTCTTCTGAACTCTTTACCAGAGCCACAGAATCTCCAACCTGGGGGATGAGGTTTATCCTCCCCATCCAAGAGTGATGCCGCGTTACCTCTGCTTCGGCGGAGGTGGTTATGATCTCGACCCTTGTCTTCATCTGTTTCCTTCGGGGAGCTGGAGATGGGGGTGGGTGGGGATGGACGTCTGACAGGTCCATTCCATATATATCTTTTAATTATCTACATATATGCATAAAAAGATTTATTAACAAAAAATACTACTCTTGACCTTATGAACATATGTGAGCAACTCAATCAGTCATAACAACGTACTCTAGGTGTAGAGATTCCAGAAGCATTTCGGCCAACACCCCTGGTTTTGTGATGTGTTAACATTTACAAGTTACAGTATCCGGTAGAATTATTGCGAAAGTCAGAACTAAAAGAGTGGGTTTCTTGGTCCGTGCTCACTACAAAAATTCCTTTAAGGGCCAATGGGACTATCTGGTCACGGAAAACCCACTTTCGCATTAATTCTACCAGAATCTGTAAGAGGAGCTCAAATGGATTATCGGGCCATATTATGGGATTCACACGGAAACCCCAGTCCATACCGGTAATATCGGCACAATCTTTTTCGTTGCGAAAAAAGGTTGCTGAAAAATCATTTCCCACATTTTCGCTAGCACAGATCACCAAACATGCATGCAGGACCTTGATCGCCGCTCTTGAGATAACGTGGACGTCGCAGGACGAGTGATTGACCGTGAGTATACATACACGTGATGCATGTAACCGAGCACTCAAACACTCAAACACTCAGATCTGCCACGATGCTACACCGTATTACTCTGCCTTTGCTCGCCTTGACATGGTAATTTATACAGAGTACATAGATACTTCAAAGTAGTCCAATTGCATGTAATTTAGGTACATGTAGTGCAGCTCTCTCAAGTTCTCGCAATCAATCTCTGTACCTCGGCCCACCACGGATATCATCAATGTTAAGGTCTCGGATAAAGTGTCTCGGCGGTTGTCCCCCTCCGAAGCTCGCTCACACAGCTTGCCAAGAAATACTCCTTCCTCGGGTTATCCCCACAATTTGTATGGCTGTGGCAGCTTCACGTGCTTCGGACTTCCAACCACATCGACCCACGATTCATTGCTCTCTTCCGAGTTTCCAGACAAACCTTCCACTTCACCACCTCTTAACTTACTATTCAACTTCTGTTCCTCCAGTAGTTGCTTTATTTCGTAAAGGGTATCGTCTATATACATACAGATCCAGTCGCTTATCCGCCCACAGTGTGAGCTCAAGTTAACCTTCGCACCCTACCAAGTTTCAACAGAACCACATCGCCAAACTCTCCTCACAACAACTCTCAAAATGGTCGCAGATTCGCTCGTATACCACCCCACGGTTGCGCACTACATCCGCTTCGTCTCAACGACCGGTAACTTCAACCCTGTCTAGCCTGGGACTGAAGCCCAGTATTAAGATGTCATCAAGGCTGACGACGGTGTGGGAGGAAAACAGCTGGTCGTGATAAGGCGTTGAGGACGCTGCAGTACCTAGCGCGCTTCCTCTCTTTCTATCTCCTTAGGAAGGGGTATAAAATGGATGTCATCGCTCCGTTCGAGGCGATGAAAAAGCAGTTTGCCTCAGCAAGAAAGGTGATGCGTATTGGAAAAAACATCGAGCATTTTAAAGCTGCATCCCAGGTATGATATCATAGATACTGTGGCAAGCAACGAGCTAGTTGAGCTGATATCTATGTGATAACAAAGGCTATGGACAACAAATCCCTAGACCCTATCCTCCGCTACTGCGCCGTCGGCCGTCAGCTTGGATACTTCACCTACCTCACATTTGATTCACTCTCGTTCCTCGATAGCAGTGGAATCTATAAGTTTGCCGCCGGCAAGAAACTAGCCGCGGAAGCATACCGGGCCTGGTTCGTGGGTCTAATATTCTCGCTTGTTGGTGGGGGCTACACCCTGTATACGCTCCGTGAGAGGGAGAGGGGAATCGTAAAAACGATTGCAGAGGGAAAGGTGGAAGGAGAAAAATTAGTCAAAGAAAGACAGGCGACGGTTACCCAAATGATATCGGACATATGCGACGTGACTATCCCGGCCAGCGCATTGGGATATGTTGCATTGGATGATGGTATTGTAGGAATGGCAGGAACTGTCAGCTCTTTGATCGGGCTCCAGGCCATCTGGAAAAAGACGGCTTAAATATGAGTCGCCCGGGGTGTGTACATGGAGGCAGGCAGGTAAATAGAAATGATTATGACGAATAATCAAGAAGGGGTTTCACGCACAACAGTTGGTGCTGATGCAAGTATGGGAGGGGCTTGTTTGCTCGGTTGATTGATTGGGACATCTTTGCTTTGATCGCACTTTTTCCGTTTGTTTTGCTTTGGGTGTACGGTATGTATGGCACGGTATTGAGGAATTCTATTGGACAGTACGATATCATGTATGTTATTCCTAAGACGAAGAATAGCGGCTCGGGAGAGGTTTATATGTACAGATAGCTAAACTTTAGTTAAACCTATTGGCGAAAATATGACTGGCTGTCGCTCATTTGATCTATCTTACGATCGGTATGATATATATACTTATAATTAAATACATGATATTTTTCCCGCCTGTGTCATTGACCCAAGTCACCCCGCGTCGACCTTACTTGGTGCTGGGTAGCTGAGTAGAGTAATTGGATCAATGAATATGATTTATTTATAGAAGAGACATATTAGGAGATCTTGATATATATAGATTGCGATGATAGATCTAGATCAAGATCTAGAGAGGAAGTACAGAATTCAGCAAACTGATTGTTGTACGCTTAACTAAGAAGAATTAAAAACGCTTAGTCTTATATAAAGTGATTTCATAATCTGTGCCGGATCGATCAATATACAATTGCAAGTTACACCGAAGGATGACCATGCCTGATCGATCATGAAACGGCATACTTCTAGCAGATTCATGTAATTGAATGTGAAAAGATTACTTGTGTGCGATGCATGTGTGTGTTCGGCGCGTGGGTCTCGTGCTTACTGCGGATGCTCATATCTGAGATTGTTTGTATTTATCTTCGCACGTAGTATAAATATATGGGCTATTTTTACCAAGCGAGAAGTGCCATGAAAGTTCGCACTTGGGGACCAGTACTACTATTAATTCCACTGTATTTTAAGTTGCTGTTACGTAGTTAAACTGTATTTAGTTGTCTATATGCCTATTGATAACCCCTTCTTTAATGCCGAATCATGTTTCATGACGGAAGTAATAGCCAATGAGAAGCGCAACCGGGGATAAGGAAGCTTTAGATACTGTTTCTATTTAATCCCATTATATGAAGAACGGGTACGAAGCGAGTTGTTTGGATAACAGTAGTGATTGTTCTTCTCTTGATTAAAATGCAGACCCATCATGAGAGTGCCGTAATTAGATATAATATTGAAATAAGGATGTTTATGTTTGTTGTTCGGGTAATATAATATCAAGAAGAATATTGATCATTCTACTTTGGAGCTTTAAATAACTAAATAATGAATACATACAAGCACATGTAGTAGGGATATAGAATAAGGAGTCTGGGTACATTCCCTGCTAGATCTCAATCTCGTACTATACATGTAGTACATGTATGTTCATACATGACGTACTTACAATTTATGATTTTACAACTGAAATTTGATACATGTAGCCGACTTTTTGAATAGCTTAGCCAGTAGCTTTTCTAGCAGCCCGTCCAGTAGCCATCAAGTAGCCCGTCCATTAGCGTATCTAGAAATCCATATCCCGTACTTTTACCCGAGAATTCGAATCACTAGTGTAATCCAATTCCTTTTCTCTCGTCTGATGTAATGTATTCTACTATGTCCTCTCAACACTTACTACCCCACCATCACTCTCTCACCTCCTACATCACACATCCCACCGCCCACTTACCTCCCCACATCTCCACATCCCCACATCCCCACATCCCCACATCCCCACATCCCCACATCTCCACATCTCCACATCTTCGTCTTTTACCCATCATCCACCATTCATCAGAGAGCATCCATAATTGTTCATCAAATATACGATAATCATCGAGGTTACCATCCAGAAAACCTGTTAGTTCATTTTAAATTTAATAATTCCTTCATATACTGCCCTTTCAACTCAATTTCCCAAAATTTACTACCCAAAATAAAATTCATCAAGTTATCATTTTATTCCATTGAGCCTTGTAATTGGTTCTTATCATCCAAATTACAGCACTGTTCTAACTGGAAAATTCTCATCTCTCTACAAACGTCCCTCTGATTATTTATCTAACTCTTCTTTCAATTTGAATCGTATAGATAATTGTCATTTAAAATGGCATCAGATCAGCCCCAAATGGGGAGTCCAATCATTGACCCTACATCTGCACCGTCAACCCCTACCACCTACGACCATAGAGATTCTTTGGTAGGGACTAAATCACACAATTCGCGGAGTGAGTCTGTGCTTCTGCCAGATAGTCCACTCTCAGCAACAGACTCCCTCGGAGGAGAAGTATGGCTACCACGACTGAGTGGGGGACGCAAACGTCTCCACTACGGTGGTAGAACCCTGGCATCAGCACAGACGGCAGGGAACCATATGAGCGTTGAGACTCCAAGACGTGACGCTGGTAACCCGAATAATCGACTGGACGAAAATAAACCGGTACCGTCAGTGCCTCCAGCACTTCCAGTATCCCCACCTAGATCTATGGCAGGTCCAAAGGCTTTGAAAAGCCTAAATCGACATCTGAGTAACCATGAGAACGTCAACTACACATGGCCTAGAAAAAGTGGCCGCATTAAGGATCCGGAGGAAAGCATCAAGGAGGAAAATGATGACTGCGAAGAAAGTTCCCTAACTGGGTGCGAATACGAATCTGATGATCTCGCAGAAGACATCAGCCATGGTCTTGCGTACGGCCATAGAAAACAACCAACCTCAACCTCCGGCCCTTCGAGTGACGAATATGTTCCGGTTACTGTTAACGAATCTCTAGGGGAAAGGCCTCAAGATCAAACAAACAACTATCCTCATAGCTCATCGATCCATGAACCAGTCTCTAACATCGCTGTTCCAGAGAACTTAGCAGTGACAGAGAAAGGTTCTCGATTTAAGATTCTTGGTAAGAATGGGTTTTTTACGAGCTGGAAAAAAGCGACGAAGACCGTCAACTTGGAAGAGAGGAGCCTTGAAGAAATAATACCAAGAGATAGACATTATGAAGGGTGCATTTTATGTCCACCCCAGCCGTCTCCACGATCATCTGTTACTACCACAGTTGGAGCTCAAGAGCTCTACGCACCCAGTGGACAGAACCCTGGGCCACCACCACTGACACCGCCCCCCTCCCCGCCAGGCCACAAAGATATCAAAGGGAAATCTTCTGCTCCTCAAGAATCCTTAGCTCCGACGAGCTATAATGTCATGAAAGATCTCTTGGGAAAACATGATAAAGTTGGACAGCCAGGCCCAAGTAACTATTACCAGGGCACATCGAATAGGCGGTTTCCATTCAATAATTACCCCACATATTTGGATAGATCTTCCAATAGCTCGAACGACAGTGGTAACTTAGGCGGGCCATCGAACCGATTTGATCAAGCAGAGGGGAGTGTCAATACAGGCTCACAGTCTCTCAATATTCGAATGGAATTGTCGCCTGGTGATAATGAACACGCAGTGGAAAATGATACTGATGACAAATATGATGGAGATCCATACCAAGAGAGCCAAGAAGATGCTCATAACCGGGCTAAGGGAATTATTAAACGTCATCCTTTGAGTGGCCGCCCTTCATTTTTAGGAAAAAGGAGCTCAAGAGGTCTGATCCGTCTCCCCGACGATTTGGGCGAGGGCTCTCACCCCGGCACACGACGAGATCACCAATATCTTGGTGCAGATGGTATTTACGAGATGGTTGACATTGAGCCTATGTCAGCCTCTGCGATAGCGCCAAACTTCCATACAGAGCCTCTGAGGCCTATTCAACACGTAAGAACAAAGGGGGTCATCCAAACTCTTTTCATGAGATTCAAGCGCGAGGCAGTGCAATATTTGATCGGGAACTGGAAGCTCGTAAGCGCGGTGACCGTTGTGGTTTCCGTATTGTTGTCAATGATCCTGTTGTAAGTTTTATATATGTTGCCTACTGATATTTTCAACCTTTCTTTTTTAGGAATATGTACATCAGCTAATAAGCTCTAGACTCCTTGTTATAATCCCTAATATTATGAGGGAAAGGGCCGATAGAGCCATCTTTGAAGTCACAGCACTTCATATCAGCGATATTTCGTATAATTATACTACGGTCACACTTGACTTCAAGGTAATTTCAAACGCGGGAATACGAGTAAATATCAATCCCGCATCGTTCAGTTTAGAGTCCGATAACGACTACAATTACGAATTTTACCATTCAAAGAAAGAAGATAGTAAAAATAAATCCGAATTATACAGGGGCCATAAATACACGCCCATAGGAGATCTTTATTTACACAAAGACCTCAGTTTCTCTAAAGGCAATGGGAATATGATCCTTACATCAGAAGCAGGTGATGATGATCATGAAAGCAACGATAATCACGATATCACAAAGCCTGGCTTCTGGAGACCTGAGGACATGGTTGAAATATTGGTCTGGGGGGCTTATAATAATGAGACAGGAATGCGCTCAGTCATTCAAGGCGATGTTCGCGTACAGGCCCGAGGATTTGCAACTTGGGTAGATATACAGAAAAAAATTGATATTTACTGTAAGTATTTAGCCCTTCATGAACAACTCCACTATTCTTGCTAATTAGTCGTTTTAGCCATGGGTGGGTTTCAAGACCTTAAGATCGACTCATACAAATTTCTTCAGCCTCAGAAGGGGTTTATTGGTGCTAATATTTCTTGGTTTAACCCGTCTGTCGTGACAATGGATATGGTAAGTTAAAGTCCCCTAATCCTTTGACTTTAGCATCGATTCATCTCAATAATAGGGAACTGTGAATTTCGACCTTTTTCTCGGCGACCTCCCAATTGGCGATGCCAAAATTTCTTCAATGAAAATATTTCCTGGATATAATCATGCGCATCTTTCATCTTCGCTCTTTGATAGAGATATCTTTCGAAGCAATAAAACCCTCCTTGGAGAATTGATTTCTTCAATTACTTTGGAGGAGGTTGGACCAACCAGGGAGAAACTTTTACATCTAAACGGAAAAAATACAACTGTTGATGGCACTGGTATCGGATGGTTACAACCGATTATCCAGCTCTTCGACAAAGATCTACCAGTGGCTATGAATGAGCAGATTTTCAGTACCTTCAACACCAGTATACTCCTAACAATGACTCCGGATGGAAAGACAAAATTAAAACGGGGTAGCATCGAGTGCAAGTTAAAATTACCTTTCGAGTCTGAAGATTTCCTCATTACTGTTCGGGGTGTAGGCTACTTTCTGGATATCTCATTGCCCCCCAATGACGCAGGTTTTCTGCGTATTGAGAGTACAATGAATTCCCACGATCAGACTGTTTTATCCGGGATTCATACTTTTAACAGTAGTCTTGTAGGCTCAAATAGTAGCATCATCGAAGAAAATGTTCTTAAAACCGTTTTTATGCCTGATTTTATCAAAGCAGAAACGTTGTCCCTCAAGGTTAGCGGCAGCATGGCTGCTGACCTGGAAACCCCATATGGAGAAGGGAGGATTTCTGGGATCAAGGTTGAAAATCATATCTGGCAAATGAAGGGCCTTCATGGTCTCGATGGTGGCGGTAAAAGTAAGGTGATAATCTCGAACGAGACAGTGATAGGAAATATTTGGACCATCACATTGCAAATACAGAACCCGTCTGATATGTTTGTGGACGTGAGTTTCACACTCTTCATGATTCCTATGCAAAATGCTAATTGAGATTTTAGTTTGGGGATACTGTGTTCGACGTTGTCCAAAAAAAGAATTCAACCGGATGTATTGGAACCATCAGTGTCGAGAAATTGACCTTGGATTATGGATCCAATAATGTCACGGGAAACTTTGACCTTACCGCCCCCCATTGCAATGCCTCAGAACTGGCAGAATTTCTTTCCAACTTCATGACTGGTGGTCAAAATGACCTGAATCTACGTACGACATCCAGCCACGAAGTCATGGGATTTACTGGACTTGAAGTTGGAGCCGAATGGGTTTCTCCAAGCTACCGTCTATTTGATTCTATCGATCTGATTATCGGTGAACACAACGTGATGGCTAAAATTAGTCTCAAAAACCCATTTGACGTAGTTCTCACCTTGGATTCTGTTGATATGGAGTTAGTGCTTGCAGACGGGGTTATTGCTGCCATCACTAGCCAGGAGCATTCTAAAGAAACGGTTATGGGAGGACAGTCCGCCACTTTATCTGGGATTCCATTGATCCCTGTAACTTCTATCCAGGGACTGGTCGAAACGTTTCAGAAGGAACTGTTAAGTGAAACATCAGAATTGATGGCGATCACCGCCAGTGGGAAAATACGTTTGCTGTTGGCAGATTATGAGGTACCGCTGATGAATTACAAACAAGAGAATGTTGAAGTAAAACTGAGATGGGAGGGTTGAGAAAATTATCAGTGAGAGAAAGTGCTGCCGAACTTGGGCATATTAAAAAGTATGACTCCCTTTTTGATAATTTCCAAAACTACATCTTTTTTTTTCGATTTCAACATCAGTTGGGAGTTGGTCAACATATATTTCTGTCCTTTTTATACTCCTGTTTTGAGTCACTTGCTTCGAGCTGGTATATCAGGATTCTTTAGTCCTTCAAGACGGAAGCATGGGATATTTCTGCACGCTTGCGCCAGCAGCAATGGCTTTGTCTTAAAAACTTAGCTTACGGGATTAATCGCGTATGTTAAAAGAGTAGTAGCTTTGCTTTCAGGCAGTATTCTACTTTCGCATATATAGGTTCATACCTATATCTTTTAATCATAGCTATATAATAAATGAATGAAACTGTTCATCTACAAAGATTTCGAATTTCAACATCAGTGCTTTGCTCCCTACCTTCTAAATGCGATAGGATCTGTAGGAAACAATATCATTATGCCAAGTATACATTGATCAGTTCCATCTATTATGTTTAGTAAACCAAGATACTTGGTTCTAAATCATAACCATAATGATTGTAGTAACGAACTCTTGAGTAGTGATGATCACCCATTTTGGGAACTCTGTGTATATACATCGATTCATGTGACACTGGTTCCTGGATAAGATGTATACTTTACCATGTAGAATTTAGGCACATATATGTAATTGGCATCTTATATATCAGTGCATTCTCAGGACTTTAATCTACGCTATATATACCATATATGGTTAATAGCTACCTCTATGGAAGTATCTATATTACATAGTGAACTCAAAGTAAAGTTCTCCTATTTATCTGTTTCCACGGGGGATCGCATGTAGTAATCCCTCTATTTATCTAATAAGTTCTTCTAGTCCTCGGCCTCCCCAGTCAAATAACCTCGTGGACCACGGTAGGTACCACTGCATGATGATAATGACTGAAAATTCTTTACACCTCAGCAGGGGTTAGGCCAACCAGAGACTCTTTGAACGTCAATTCTGTAGGTCTGAGTGTAGAGTTGAATACTCATAGATCCTAGTTAGGCGCTTTATCGCAACAAATTTCTAGGAAACAGGATTAGTTAGCGCCCAGCTCTATGAAATCATAGGATTCTAGAAACCCGCTTCGATCATCTACACATTGGATCACCCATCTAACCTTTGATAGCTATATACTTGGTTTAACATTTATATCGTTTTTAAGCTTGTAGGGGTTGGAGTTGGATTATAATTTGGAATTCAGTCCTTGCCAAAGGAGAGAAGAATGGCGGCGGGTATCAAAGACACAAAAAGCGGTGTTGTGTTCTGGAATAACGGGTTTATAGGTTTTTGGGGAACAACTACGTGTGTAAGGTCTCTACGTGGGGGTCGCGTTATTAGCACGCTGGCATAAGTCTTCGGCCGCGGATACCTGTATTTAAGGTCGCGCTTGTCATACCAAATGTGTGCGTGTCATGCTCATTTCGTAATGTGTCGTTCGTGTGGATTGTAGATACTCTAACGTAGTTGTTATTGTTGATCTAAGTCTCTTTTGTATGTGCTCCGGATAGTCGATGTCTTATTTGTTGTCCTGAGGGATTGTAGGTATTTACTGTTCGGCTGATCAGATAATTATACGCGTATTCTACGATATTAGACGTATTTTATATGCATGATTCACTGTGATATAGGTGCTCTAGAGTAGAGTACTCTAGAAGACAGAATCATATACGTACTGAGGTTATGTAGCAATTGCATGATACTGGCATCTAGAGGGGTGTATGATCAATGTCTTTTCATTCCGTAACCGTAACCACCCTCAAACTCTTGAAGTTGAGCCCCGACATGAGTCGACTCAAGCGAGGCTCAACCGGCGAGACATGAGATTTGGGAGCGGCGATCCGATCAGAAATGACGATTTTGATAGCTAATAATAGCCGTGTAGGTGGGTTGAAATGACCGCTTAGCTAATTAGGTGAGCGTGTTTTAAAGTTCTGTAATTGAGTAGTACGTGCGTAGGCATTCTGCTAGGTCCCAATACAGCCACAGCGCTGGCTGTTCGATAGGTACACTACCTCCAACAATCACGATGCATCGTCTCATGATGCGATTTCAAGTAGGTAAAGCAATGCGCATCCCGTTTATCAGCTGAGAAGGTGCTCGTATCCACATATCATGTAGGACTCAGTATGTGCTGAGCAGACAACTGCTACGGATTATCTGTAGGTATCGCCAACCCAAACTCTCCACGAATAATGTCCTAGAGTGCGTAGATATGTACTCGGGGCAGGTAAAAAGTACCGGACAATGCAGGTTTTTGGTTCACCAATGGGTGCGCGTGCTAGGCGTGAACTACTGCAAAAAAGCCCAGAGACAAAACTTGCATTGTCCGGTACTTTTTACCTCCCCCGAGTATGTAGGTACACAATGATCCCGCTGCTGGCCGTGATTCACCACATCAATCGGCTACCGAAAAGTCGCGACATCCCGTCAATCAATTGGTCAAGGTTGTAGTTCCTCCGAATATTCTCCGCCGATTACTTTTACTTTTTTTCTCCCCTGATCGGAAGTAGCACCCATCATGGCCCATCACCCGTTGTTACCACAGACCAGGACGTGCTGACTGTCTGTTGCACTGTCAGTTACACGGCTGGTCACAGACCTCACCCCTGAATGTTAAGTTGCACATTGATCGACACAGCTTAATTAATTACACTCCTCGCCTGGTGCCTGATTTCCAGACCTCTCCCCCTCTTTTCTGCGGGATGCCACTTCCACCTCTTGAGTCTTGATTCTATTTTTGTAAAGCCAGACAATAAAGAGCCGCAGGCAGACACACGCTCGTGCGATAGGATGAAATTAAATCTATAAACCTAACATATATATCTCCAAGTACTCCTGCCAACCTTCATGGGCACCAAGCCCGCGAGATTTCGGTCATTAGCCATCAATTGAGTGGGTAAACATTCTCCACTCGAATATATATGAAGTACTAATGTACATATATGTACATACCTTCATGTACCTTCGTGGAGTAACTGCAAGTATACATAGTACCAAGAGTCGACCGATATCCCTTCGGTACTTTCGGGATTGTAAGTGCATATTCCCGACGGCCGTTGGTTAAACACGGGTAAAAACCTGGGTTGATCGAGTACATAGAGTGTGCTCCTTCCAGACGTGGAAATATATCTTCTTAACCAGAAGGCCGGGGTGACGATCAAGAAATTAAGTATTTGCTACCCCAGTTTTTGGCACATTTCCCAGATATCGGTACCCCCTACGATACTCCTGGTCACTGGGCAGTGGCATAGCCTAGGTGAAATCTAGATTCTCTTCGGAAAACATGACGCATTTAGACAGTGTAGCATCTCAAATTGGGCATGACCGGGTGCACAAAACATATGCGCTGTTGATGTCCGAAGCCGTGAGGTGAGGGAACGCAAGTAATTTCACCGACGTCAACACCTCAGTGGTTCGTCCAACGGTGATTGGTTATCGGGGGAACAGTGCAGAAAAAGTTTGTCTCATGCTCGAGAGCTGGGTGGCTAGTGCGAAGGGCCATGAACTATGTGGTATAAGATGGACACCCATCCCCATCTCTGGCAATTGCTACTAAGGATCGTGGTCTTTCCATATTTTCATCTCTTAACCATCTGCTGGGAATTCGTCTGAGTTCCATCTACGCTGGTTTTTGAAATTGTCTTTTGTACTTGATTGATAAAATGATCGGGTTCTACTCGGCATTTCTCCTCGCCGCCCAATTGGGGTTGGGCTCATCCGCTCCTCTGGAAAAGAGACAGTCTGGAGCAGCTTCATGGAGTCCACCTTATTACCCTGCTCCTAAGGGTGGTTCTTCGGCAGCATGGGCTGATGCTTATGACAAGGCCTATGAGCTTGTCTCGCAGATGACATTGGTTGAAAAGGGTTTGTACTCAAACGTTCTTCTTGTGGGGGGATTTGTGCTAACAGATGATACAGTGAATATCACGACTGGTCTTGGTTGGGCCATGGGCCCTTGTGTAGGAAATACTGGTCCAGTTGAGCGTCTCGGCTTCCCCTCCATCTGTCTTCAGGATGGACCGCTAGGTGTAAGATTTGCGGACAAGAATACGGCGTGGCCTGCTGGAATTACAATTGGTGGTAAGTAGCCTACATCTAGAAATACAAAAAGGGTTGGAGGATCTTAACAATGATGTCTGTCTATAGCAACCTGGGACAAGGAGCTCATGTACGCACGTGGAGACGGTTTGGGCGCTGAATTCCGTGGAAAGGGAATAAACGTTATTTTGGGACCAGCAATGGGTCCTATTGGTCGTATGCCCGCAGGTGGAAGAAACTGGGAGGGCTTTGGCTCAGATCCTTATCTCCAGGGCATTGGTGCTTCTCTTACCATCCAGGGAATCCAGGATAATGGGGTTATTGCAACTGCTAAGCACTATATTGGTATGCGAATCTCTGCCAAGACTGTAGCATTTATTGAGTACTAACCCTACTATTTTAGCCAATGAACAGGAACATTTCCGACAAAGCGCTAACGCAATCTCTGCCAACATCGATGCTAGAACTCTTCATGAGGTCTACTTATGGCCATTCCAGGACTCAGTGAAAGCTGGTGTCGGGGCGGTCATGTGTTCTTACAACCAGAATAACAACAGCGCTTCTTGCCAGAATTCGTGGTTACAGAACGCTATCTTGAAAGATGAGTTGGGTTTCGAGGGATTTATCATGTCCGATTGGCTCGCTCAGTACAGCGGAGTTGCTAGTGTTCTTGCCGGAATGGATATGACCATGCCTGGTAAGTCTACAGAGATTTACGTATTCTTGACTTAAGAGGCTGACTTTGTACAGGCGATGGCTTGGCTTGGGACGATCGTATTTCGCTTCTTGGACCCGAACTTACTAGAGCTGTGATGAACAGTTCCGTACCAATGGAAAGGCTCGATGATATGGTCACCCGTATTGTTGCTACCTGGTACAAGTTTGGCCAGGATGAGGATTATCCTGAA